TAGCACTCCTGGCAGATGAGCGCAGGCCTCGGGGACTCGGATTGTCCTGCGGCAGCGCCAGTTTCCTCCACGGAAAACAGGTCCCTCCACTCGACCCCCCGCAGCTTCCCGACCCAGGGATTTCCCCGGCCGGTGGGGCCACGACACAACCGATGCGGGCTGGCACCTGGCCACCCTGGCCGGTCTCCCGGCTGGTGGGGGGGGAAGGACGGAGGGCGGGAGGGAGACCTGGGCGGGGCGCCGCCTCCTCCGGGGCCGCTGGGCGGGGCCTCCTTGGAGCCCGGGGGGTGGGGGGCCCGAGCCCAGCGGGATAAAAGGGCCCCGGCGCCCCGGGAGGCCCGTTAGCGCTGCTTCGCCGCGGCGCCCGCCCGCCCCGTCCCGGACCGTCTGCGCTCCAGCTGGTGAGCCCCCGCCCGGCCCTGGCCCTGGGTCTGCCTGGCCGTCCTGTCTGTCTGTCCGCTTCCTTCTCTCTGTGGGTCTGCAAGCCTCTGAGGGTTCCCGAAGGCTGAGCGGGGCGGGTTGGCGGTCCCATGGATGGGGCAGCCTAGCTCCCAGGCGCTCCCAAAAGTTGCTTCCAAGTTCCGAAGCTTGGCCCTGGGCCCGCCCTGGCCCCGGAGTGCCTGAGTGTCTTGTCTGGGAGTGCACTGAATGTAACCTTCTGTCTTCTCACCAGGGAGGAGGCAGGGGAAGGGGCGAGGGGGCAGGTTCAGCCTTCACTCCTGTGACTTGGGGGATTAAGAGGCAGGGCAGAACCAGGCTCTCCAACTAACCAGATGAGGGCTGAATAGAGGGGGAGAGGGGGAGAGGGAGAGAGGGAAAGGGGACCGGCAGGCAGGGGATGCAGCCTGGGCTGAAGGCTTCAACTCCCAGGTGCTATGGCGGGACAGGTAGGGCTCCGAGACCATTTGCTGGCTCTGCTTCGGGTCACCATAACCCACGATCCCAGGAAAGGGGTCAGGTCTGAGAGGGGAAGCCCCATCCCATTTGTAAGAGGTCACATGATCCCAAGGCTGGTGCCCACCAGAACAGCATCCCCAATGCTATCTCCTCAGCACCTTTGAGCATTCCCAGCCCTCCCGGGGGGGGGGGGGGGGAGGGGGGGGCAGGTGCCGAGTCCCCGAGCAGCACCTGAACCAGGTGCCTCTCTGCTTCAGGCTGGCAGAGTCCTGGTCTGGCATTTATTTGCACTCAGTGCTGGCACCCACCCCAGTGCCCTCACACCTCAGCAGGTCGTAAATCAACTACCAGCAGGGTGGAATTTCATTCATTTCCCTGCCACCCTTCCTTCTCCCCCCTCCTCCTCCAACCTCCCTCCCTCACGCTGAGAGCCTGGCTTCTGGAGACAGGCTGCCTAGGTTTGAGACCTGGCCGGGCACGCTACCTGGCTTCTCTGGCCCTCATCTTCTCCGCTGTAGAGTGGAGATAAGTCTACAATCAATATTTCTGTATTATATAATAATAATTATTATTATTAACCCCCCTCCATCCTTCCTCTCACCCTGTCTCCTTCTCCTTCCCTGGGGAAAGAGTGCCAGTGAGGCTTTCCTTCTCTGAGGGAGGCTCCTCAGCCTGGTCCTCTTTTCTGTGCTCAGCCCCTGAGGACCAGCCTTGGGGAGACACTGTGGCTACTGGTTGTGGAGGCAGGAAGCAAACACACCAAGTGCTAGGAGGGTGGGACCTGGGAGGGCTGGATGGAGGGGGCAGCTTTCGAGCTGGGTGTTGTAGGAATCGAACAATCTGAAGGAGAGAGAAAGGCCACTCCAAGTAGAAGGAACAGTGAGAGCAAAGGCTGAGCGGCTGGGAACGGAAGGGTACACTGGGGAACGTGAGGAGACAGAGGGACCTTCAGTGGCAGGAGGGCTGGGGAGAGGTGTGCCCCCTGCATCTGATTCTCCTGGGCAGCTTTCATGGAAGGGAGTGAGCTGCCCTGGCCTAGCACCCGGGGTCCTGCAGCAGAAGCCACCCCTGCCTCCAGGGAGTCAGTCCCCTTCGAGGGAGGGAGCCTGTGGGTCCAGGACTGTCCTCAGCTTCTAACAAGACCTCCATGACGCTGTGGGACATCAGCCACAGGCAGACCTGCCCCCACTCCGCAGCCCATCAGAGCATGTCTTACCGAGAGGGTCCCTCAAGTGCCACCACCTCTCAGAGAGGAAGGCGCCGGACTCAAGTCACATAACACTTTGGTGGCGAAGTGAGGAGCACCCTGACTCCTGGGTCAGCGAGCAGGCTGCATTCCTAGGCCAGACCCAATGTGACCAGTGGGTCCTCACAGCTGGAGGAGCCAGTCCTTCCCATCATCTCTGACCATCTGTGGCAGGACCCTGCCCACAGGGACTTCAGTTTGGCTCAGTCCCTGGCTGCCTACCTCCCCCTTAGGGTGATGGAGGAGGGAAAGAGGACATCTCAGGCAGTGACAGCCAGCTGGGAGCCCCCACAGGCTCCTGAGTGGGGAGTGACGTGAAGAAAACAGTGTTTAGGTCTGGAAAGGAATTACAGGGGTGGGGAGGGGGGCACAAGAGGAGACTTCAGCAGTGAGAAAGGGAAGGTTTTGGGAAGTGGAGAGAAGTGATCCTGGGCTCAGAGGGGGAAAAGGCAAAGCGGGAGGATGTCGCAAAGCAGGGTCCCAGGGTCTTGCTGAGGAGTTAGGGCATTGCCTCCATTCCTTCTTGATCCAAAGAGGAGCTAGGAGCAAACTATGGTGCTATAGCAGCTGTTACTAATAGTTAACTTGTCAATTGAGAGCTTGCTCACCTGAGGGTCAAGATGTATTCATTCATTTAACCTTGGCAAGAATGCTAAAATGCTATTATTATCCCCATTTTACAGACAGAAAACTGTGGCACTGAGGAATTAAACCACTCGCCCAAGACCACCCAGAAGCCAAGTGACAGAGGTGGGTGGTGAGGCCAGGAGTCTGGCTCCATCTGTACACTTCAGTGCTGTTGCCACCTCAATCCATGCAACCATGGGTATTTCCCGGGTGCCACCTCCACACCTGCTCTACTCTGGGCACCAGGGGCACAACACACAGTCCCTTTCCCTTTTAGTGGAGCTTCATTCTAGAGCCCACTCTGCCCAGTCCTGGGCTGGCCAACGCAGGCCAGGCAGCTGAAGGGGGAGGGGCTGGGTGCAGCAAGGAAAGAGAGATTCTTGGCGTATACCAGCCTGTGGTGAACGGAGTGGCAGGGACACACACACACACACACACACACACACACACACACACACCCGGAGAACGTGCTCTCTATGGTGCAAGCCTGAACAGGGAGCCAGGAACCCAACACTCTCCGTCCACTGCCCCAGGCAGCCTCAGGCCCATCCACAGCAGAGCCCCATCGGCGCACACGGAGGAATTCGGCACTGATGGCTGCAGACACTGACACCTCTCAATGCTCCTCCCCCAGCCTGGTCCCAGGCCCAAGGCTGCTAACACATGAGGGAGAGAGGATCAGTCCCCAACCCCATCCCCTTTAAGGACCCAAAGACCATCTGCTTTCAGCCTCCTCAAGGCAGGAGCCCTCTCTCTGGTGTATGGCCACTGCCTAACCCTCCTAGGGCCCCTCATTTCCTACGGGATCAAGGGACCCTGCCCCCCTCCCCCCCGCTGCTCTCACACCTCTTCTCCTCTCCCCTTCCTTACCCATTCTGACCTCTCTACCTGGAATGCAGAGTTTTCCCACCTGGGAGAACTCTCTTCCTCTAACAAGGCCCCGGTGAGCTCCCCTTCTCCGAAAGCCTTTCCTAATACCTCTTCTCTGGGCTTCATGAGAGCGGGGAATAGCGTTGACATCCTCACGTCCCTGTCCCAGCACCTGACCTGATAGTTGGCCTGAAGCCAGTATCCCACAGATGTTGGTTGGACCCGTGTACAAATCACACACCTCGCTGGACCTAGAGCAAGGGCGGAAGGACACCACAGACTTCCAGCTCAAGGAGATACTACACAAGACAGGGTGGGGCAAAAGTAGATTCAGAATTGTGAATGAGGGAAACACAGTTTATTCTTGTATTATTATTATTTCTTAATTACTGTATATTTTCCATACAAACAACTGTAAGTCTATTTTTGCCCCGCTGTATTGGTTCAACCGCCTCGCTTTCAAAATAAAGGCTCAGGGCCTAGAGAGTTTAAAAGACGCCCCCAAGCCACACAGTAAATGAGTGGTGGAGGCCTTGACTCCCCTCAAATGACCCTTTCTGCTCCAGCATCCTGTGCGCCTTTTGTGGGAAAGGTGGCCAGGGTGCTGGGAACCTCAAAAGGCAGGTGAGGGCAGTTCCCTTGGGGTAAATATTTCTGGTCCTGAGGGCACCTTAAGGTCTCCCCCATTACTCCAAGGGTAGGTCACTATATATATATATATATATATATATATATATATATATATATGCCTAAGCAACCAAATGACCAGTTGACCGGTCGTTAAAACTTGCACTGACCACTAGGGAGCAGATGCTCAACCCAGGAACTGACCCCTGGTGGTCAGTGTGCTCTCACAGTCAACCTCCGCGGTCCCTCCCCCACAGTCAGCTGGCCCAATCGGCCCCAATTGCCAGCCAGGCCGAGGGACCCTCACCTGTGCACAAATTCATGCACTGGGCCTCTAGTTTACATATAAAACTGTATCAAGAATAACTGTTTATGGAGCACTTACCATGTGGTAGGCTTATGCTATGCACTTTACATACAGGACAGCAAGATAGGAATTATTATCCCCACTTTGCAGGTGAGGAGGTTGAGACTCAGTAAAGTTAAACTTCAACTTCCTCAAGGTTACATGGCTAATGCATGGTGGGTTTGAGCCAAATTGACTAACCTTGGAGCCCAAACTCAATCAGTGCCAACACACACACACACACACACACACACACACACACACACACACACACAATTAAAGGGACCCTGCCATGTCTTGTCTCTGCCTGAGGCCAGAGGTAGGTGGTGATTGTTGTCCTGTTTACTCATTCCCAGGTGCCTTGCCTCAGCTGTCCTTGGAGTCACCATGATGCGGTTCCCACCCGCTACCCTCTCCCTGCTCCTGCTGTGCCTGCTGCTGGGCCAGGCCCCTCTCGGCAGGCCGCAGTCGCCGGGCACCGCGAAGCTGCGGCTGGTGGGCCCAGGAAACAGGCCGGAGGAGGGCCGCCTGGAGGTGCTGTACCAGGGCCAGTGGGGCACCGTGTGCGATGACGATTTCGCCCTCCAGGAGGCCACCGTAGCCTGTCGCCAGCTGGGCTTTGAGGGGGCCCTGACCTGGGCCCACAGTGCCAAGTATGGCCCGGGGGAGGGTGAGTGACAAGCTGCCAAGCAGCAGGGCGAGGAAATGGCAGCGGGCTTCTCTCAGGGGCTGGGCTCCCTGAGGCTCCTACAGAGAACATCCCACCCGTCCTTTAATTCCCAGCTCTGTGACCTCCCACGAGGCCTGTGCGGAGTGCCTCAGCTGAAGAGCCCCCGCTGAGCCTCCCATGCTTGCTTGCAATGAGCCCACCACGATTGCCATGATCACAGCCCCTCAACTAACTTCCTGGAACAGAGTGATTGGCACACCGTGGGTGCCTAACAAATGTTGAATGGCTGGATTCATGGATGAATGGGTGAATAGGTTAATCTAATTACTAAACCAATTTGGCATTTTCCAAAAAGATTCTACAGAACTTGATGCCAAGAGGAGGCAGGAAGCAGGGTTATAAATAAATCCCAGGAGAACCAAGTCCTCTCCTTCCTCCATCTCACTTTCTGCTCAGAGTTTAAGAGGAAAGTTTATAACTGTCCGGGAGGCACAACCCATGCCCTGTCTCTCTGTGCTTGTCCCTGAGCATCACCTGCCTGTCCCCTCCCCGTCAGGACCCATCTGGCTGGACAATGTGCGCTGTGCGGGCACAGAAAGCTCCCTGGGCCAGTGCGGGTCTAATGGCTGGGGTGTCAGCGACTGCAGCCACTCGGAGGACGTCGGGGTGGTGTGCCAGCCCCAGCGCCAGCGCGGCTACCTTTCTGAGAGAGTCTCCAATGCCCTCGGGCCTCAGGTGAGGAGGTTTTTCAGGCCCTGGCCTGAGCCAAGTATTGGGTCGGGGGACAGGGAGCCTCCTGGTAATAAACCTGGTGGAGGGAGGGAGAGGGGAAGGAGAGCAGAGCCTGGGCTGAGAAGCATCCTGGCCCCGACTCCTGTTGGTGCATGGACAGGGGGTCCCAGCTTGGGGGCGGGCAGGCCCGGGAACCAGAGGCTGGGCCTGCTGGGAATCACTGAAGCTGCTCCCCATAAGGGAGGCAGCAGGGAGGCAAGGGGCTGCCTCACCCACAAGGCCCGGCCACAATTGCTGCCTCTTCCCGGCACAAACAACCCCAAGCTAAAAACAGCCCAAGCCAAACAACAGGAGCAGGCAGGGCAGGTCCAGGCTCCTGCCATCCCCTGCCAGAGAGCCTCAGCCTGAGGACTGCAGGCCGTGGCCCACTACATGTCGTAGGCCAGGACGGGAGGGGGGGGGGGGTTCGCCGTGGCCTAAGTCAGCCTGGGACTAAGGTGGGGGTCTCCTGGGCCAAAGGACCCTGTTGGCGGTCTCAAGGTCTGTCCGTCCTCACATCGCCCTGGGGCAGCAGGACGGCTCCTCTGTGCCCGGGGGAAGCCCCCCAATCCCAAGAGCTCCCATCCTGACCCCAGGGAGGGTGCAGACCTGCCTGCTTCCCACTAGCGTGAGGGAAGGACCCTAAACACACCAAGGTTCTGCCTCATGCTCACGCCGTGGCCGTGGACGAATGCCTCCCCCTGCCTGGGCCTCAGTTTCCCAGCCTGTCCTATGAGGGGGCTGTGGGGGGTGATCTGTAAGCGCTCTGAGCCCCAGCTTCCCCAACGGAGACCTGCAGTGGGCTCAGCAGGGCGAGAATCTCGGCCCACGGTGCCCATGGTCCCTGCAGGGCCGGCGGCTGGAGGAGGTGCGGCTCAAGCCCATCCTGGCCAGCGCCAAGCGGCGGAACCCGGTGACCGAGGGGGCCGTGGAGGTGAAGTACGAGGGCCACTGGCGGCAGGTGTGCGACCAGGGCTGGACCAGGAACAACAGCAAGGTGGTGTGCGGGATGCTGGGCTTCCCCAGCGAGGCACCTGTCAACGGTCACTACTACAGGTAGGAGGTCAGCTGGCGGGGGTGCGGGGGAGGCAGTGGCATGTGTGAGTGTGTGCGTGTGACACACGTGGGACCTGGCAGAGGTCAGGGAGGCTGGCAGGGTTGGGTGTGTCTGCGGCAGGTCATTCAGTGGGTGAGGGGACTGGGAGGGAAGCAGGCCCAAACGAAGGATGTTCCTGGGTCTCCTGGGGGGTGGATCCACAGAATAATGAAGAGGAAGGTGAGGGTGAATGTTGGGAGGCGCCTAGAAACGGTCAGAAACCAATGGATACAAAGAATAGTACAGAGCACTCCCCAACTAAAAACAGCCGAGTGTGAAATTGTGTCCCTGACTTAAAAAGTAGACTTTGCTGAAGAGCCTGACAATGCTGCCCAAGGACAGACACCTGGGTTCTGGCCTCAGCTCTGCCTGACGAACTGGCACCTGAGCCTCAGCTCTCCCCTCTGCAAGGCACGGTCTCCACGTTGCCCCAGGGAATTTCCTCAACTCTCAAGGCGTGGGGCGGGGCAGCATCTGGGAGCGCAGACATAGAATCCTCTGTCGGAAACGTGACGGGGCTGTCTCAGGATTGCATCAGCCTGTCTGAGGGCCAGGCAGGCTCCCCAGCTCTGTGGAGTGAAGATTGTTCTCCTCAAGGGAGGGATCTCCCACAGTCCTGCTGAGTCACCTACCCCTGCCGACCCCAACCACGCTTAGTCACTCTGTCCTGTGTCTCCGACTTAAAGGACCCAGGTCCTGAAGACCCACTCGGTTCCAGCCTTGGGGGTGACTGACGTGGGGGCCCCCGACTCCCCACCACCCAGTAATTGCACATCTGGGCCTGGCTGACTCGCTTACCACCCATGGGGAGGGCAGCCCTGATTATAGCCTCCGGGTAGGCAGCCGCCACCAGCAAGGCCTTCACCCTGCACCTGTCCCCAGAGGACCTCTTCCCCTGGCTCCCTTTGTTCAGGGTGCCCCCTAAAGGAACCCCTCCATCTGGCATGGGGAGAGGGCGAGCTTGGAGCTGACTGCCCCGGGGGTGCCAAGTGCAACAGAGACCCCACCTTAGGGTTGATACGTCGAGAGAGAAGAGAGCGTGCTGGGAGGTCATTGGTACCTGTGAGGTGGTCGCCTCTCAGGGCTGCTGCGAAGCTCAGCGCAGACATAGGATCTGTGGGCGAGTTTTCAAACTGCGGAGTCCAGTGCAGACTCAAGGACCACTGGGAGGAGCCAGGGTGATGGGTAAGACGTCGGTACCCACTCCACTCCCCACTGTTTCCTCTCCTCCAGGAAAGTCTGGAATTCGAAGATGAGGGATCCCAGGTTCAGGTGAGGAGTGTGCCCTTGGGAAAGGTGCAGAGGGGTGTGGTGTGAAGGGTCTCCCTCTCACCCCCACCCTCACCCCTCCACCCCCCAAGGCCTTGCCTTCCTGAGTCCTGAGCTTCCCTCAACCCCTCCCCTACCCTCAGACTCCCTGTCTTCCAGGCTGAAGAGCTTGGCCCAGAAGAATTCCTTCTGGATCCACCGGGTCAGCTGCCTGGGGACGGAGCCCCACGTAGCCAGCTGCCAGGTGCAGGTGGCGCCAGCTCGGGGCAAGCTGCGGCCGGCCTGCCCAGGTGGCATGCACGCTGTGGTCAGCTGTGTGGTAGGGCCCCGCTTCCGCCCTCTGAAGGCCAAGTCTGGACGCAAGGAGCCCCGGGCAGAGGTGGGTCCCCTGGGGAGCCACAGGTCCCTCTCTCAGCAGCACCCCGCCTTTGGCAAGGACGGGTGGGCGGAGTCCAGGATGGGCAGGAGGGAGGGACAGTGGCCCCGTCCCCTATCAAGGAGGTATAGGTGCACAGATGGTGGCACCCTGGATGTATTTAAAAGGAACCGTTTATAGCCCTACCATAAACGGAAGGTTGACATCACCTGCTATGAATAGAAGGTAGCCATCAAAACAGTAATTACATTGCAGCTCTATCCCGTATGGAACCTGAGCCTGGCCCTTTGTTATAAAAAGCAACGAGCCGGTGCTGGTGAGGTGGTACAGACAGGGCAGGGCAGCACCCAGGAGGTGGTCTTCCTGGTGAAAGGAAGGAGGGGAAGAGGCTTACAACGGAAATAGCTTCCCGCTCTGTGAGTCAGTCTAATTAATACCATGTCCCCGCACGTCCCTAAAATCACACTATGGATCCTTTCGGGAAGCGCTCATATAGTTCAGCCCGAAGGACACAGACGCAGAGGCTGGCGCGAGGCAGGGACTGGCCTGGTGACGGGGTGGCAGGGTTGACTTTGTTCTCACTGTCATATGGTGGTGGCTCTTAGGGAGGTTGAGAAAAACAGCTTATTTGAGGTAATAGCTATGGGCAGAGTCAGTGTCTCTGCCCAGTTTATAGGATCCAGCCCAGGCTCCCACAGTGGCTCAACCCGTCCCTCCTCCTGCGCCCTCCCTGATGCTGGTGTTTGCCCAGCAGGAGCCAAGGGTGCGCCTCCGCTCCGGAGCCCAGGTGGGCGAGGGCCGGGTGGAAGTGCTCAAGAACCGCCAGTGGGGTACTGTCTGTGACCACGGGTGGAACCTCATCTCTGCCAGCGTCGTGTGCCGCCAGCTGGGCTTCGGCTCTGCTAAGGAGGCTCTCTTTGGGGCCCAGCTGGGCCAAGGTGAGCGAGGAGGCCTGGGGTAGGGGGTGGGGGCCTGGAAGTGCTACTGGTCCATTCCTTGGTGGTTCTGGGGTGCCCGGGCCCAGGACAGGAACTCTCCCCCTCTGTGGTGGGGAAGCCACAGCTGCGGGGCGACAGAGCTGAAGCCTCAGTGGCATTGCTCTCCCTCCCTCTGTAGGGCTGGGGCCCATCCACCTGAGTGAGGTGCGCTGCAAGGGATCTGAGCGGACCCTCGGTGAATGCCCCTCCCTGGACGGGGCCCATAATGGTTGTCAGCATGAGAACGATGCTGCTGTCAGGTGCAACGTCCCAAACATGGGCTTCCAGAACCAGGTGAGCCCAGGCCTGGGCATGGCCTCAGGCTGGGGACTGGGGAAGCCCTGAGGTAGCGCCAGGACACGGCATGGAGCCAGGGGGAGAGGTGAGCGAGAGACAGCCAGTGCTTCTGCTTTGGGCCCAGCTGGCCTTGCCTAGAGAGCCTCGCTGCCTCTCCGAGTCTGTCTGCCCTGGCTTGGCCCACAGTCCCTCAGGACAGCGGGAACTCTAGGTGGCTGCCCCTCCCATTACACTCTCTCTGGATCCCTGTGAAGTTGAGAAAAAGGTGCAGAGGGCAGAGGGCTGTGGGCTGTCAGCTGGGGAGTGGCACCAAGAGGCTCCCAGGATGATCGGCGTTTACTGCCATGCCGATGTGGCCGGTGGGAAGTCTCTGGGTCTCTGTCCTGGAAACCTCAGTTCTCTCTTCTGTAAAGTGAGTAACTGTCTCGCAGGGTCACTGAGAAGGGGATGGTCGGTATGAGATCCTCTGCAACTAGCGAGTCGCCTTTAATGGTAGGAGTTCAGATAGGAGGAGGGCAAGTCCTGGGAAAGGAGCCTGGGGAACAGGCGCTTGAGTCATATTTCTCGAGCAGGCAGGGACCTTAGGGAGAACCCAGAGGGAAGTGTCACGTCAGGGCAGCTCAGTGAGCACCCCCTGCTGAGGCCACCCGGCTCCTTACACCCCTCTGACCATTGCAGGTGCGCTTGGCTGGCGGGCGCAGCCCCGAGGAGGGCGTGGTGGAGGTGCAGGTGGAGGTGAATGGGGTCCGACGCTGGGGGACCGTGTGCAGTGACCACTGGGGGCTCAACGAAGCCATGGTGACCTGCCGACAGCTCGGCCTGGGCTTTGCCAGCCATGCTATCAAGGTGAGTCTCTGTCTTGCTCCCACACTCCCTGTGCTAACGCTACTAACAATCCACCCATCCATTCAACAATTCATTACTGAGTGAAACGAGGCCACTGTTATGCTGGGGGTGCTGGGGGTGCTGTGGTGAAGACAGATGCTGCCTCACAGAGCAGTCCACCCAGGGAGGGAGACAGTCATTAATACAACGTTCACACAACAGGCACACGGTTGTGTCTGCAGAGATACTATTGGAAGTTAGGCCTACGAGCTGGAGAGGAATAAAGAGCCCATGCAAAGTCCCGTGGCCGGAGGAAGCTCCACTCGGCAGAGGAAATCAGGGGCCAGGGTGTGGCTAGTAAGGGCGAGTGATGTGAAGTGTGAGGGCGGAGGAGGCAGGGGCAAGACCGCTCAAAGCCCGCAGTGCAGATTCTAAAAGATTCCTTCCTTGCGCTTGGGCAAACAGTTGGGGTGGGGACTAATGTAACTACAGGAACCATGCTCAGGGAACAGTGTGGCAGCAGGCCAGGTGGAAATGATGCTGGCTGGGACCAGGCAAGTGGCAGTCCTGGTAGAAACAAGTGGATAGATATTAAGGCAACAAAGTCAAGAGGTTTTAACTGCGATGTGCTGGCTCCCGGGCAGGCTGGGCACACCCACCTGGCAAACCAGAGCCACTCCTGAGTACAGCCGACCATCTGGGCCTGGGAACTGGGACAGGCCACCTGGGTGGGCAGGAAGGAAACAGGATCCTCCTCTTCAAACAGCTGAGGGCTGGCAGGTGGGAGAGGGATGGGAGCAAGGCCATGGGATGTGGAAGCCGCACGCAATGTATTTCTGCCTCATGACATGGAAGAAATGGCTATTATCAGCGGGGTCCAAAGTGGCATAGACTGCGCCATCACTAAAGGTTTCGGGCTGATGCTGGGCACAGCATGGTGGGGGTATTCTGACGGGTCCAAGCATAGGTGGGAGTCCAAAGGTACCTCTCAACTCTGACTGGGTGATGCTGGCTATTTTTTTAGGACACCTGGTACTGGCAGGCGACAGCAGGGGCTGAAGAAGTGGTGATGAGCGGGGTGCGCTGCTCAGGCACAGAGCTGGCCCTGCAGCAGTGTCAAAGGCACGGGCCAGTGCACTGCTCCCACAGTACGGGGCGTGGCTCAGCGGGAGTCTCCTGCACCGACAGTGAGTAAGGAGAGGGCCCATGGGGTCGTGGGGCAGGCAGGCAGGCTGGCTGGCTCCCCTCAAAGCAAGCCTATACCTCCCTCACTTAGAGAGGCCTCTGAGGCTAGTCCCAGCTCCAGGTCAGCAGGGTGGGAGCAAAAGGAGGGCTGGCCTTGGAGTACCAGCTCTGCCAGTTAGCAGCTGTGTGTGGCCAAGTCAGTTCACACAGGGAGGCCATCTCTGCCCTGTCCGTTCCATGGAGTCACTGTGAGAATCAAAACAGAGAATGTGTGAAAATATAAGGATATACAACAGTGTTTTCCAATGTTCATATCATGACCAACAGTTAAAAAAAAAAAAAAAAACCAGAATAGAAAACAACAGAATGAGTTACATTTAGTAAGGGCAGTATTTTTTCCTGGAATTATGTCTATGTGTACTAGGTCATGGCATGAAATATATTTCTCACTGCGGTTTGTCGTAAGGGAAAAGTTGAAAGCTGTTGTGCAGGGTACATAAATGTGAGGGCATGTGGGCCTCAGGCTCCCTGTGTATTCTCCTGAGCTCTGGGATTCATCCAAAAGGCTACAGGCCAAGCCCGTTCTCAGGCATCCATCTGTCCCACGCACTGAATCCGGGGGCAGCAGCATCTGCTTGACATCTGCCAACCAGGTCTGTGCCAAGATAACTTCGTATATCTCGCCCAAAGGCTAGAGGCTGGCACCAGCCTGAGTGGCCTCTTGACCTTCTTCCCAACCAGGCTTCAATGCCAAGACATCCTTCACCTTTGTCAGTGAGCTTTAGGGCTTTCTCTGCCCAGTGAACCTGGAGGAACACTGGGCCTAGCAGGATGCCCTGCCCTGCAGGGTGATGGGACACGGGGTGAGCCCACACCAAGGCTCACTGCACGTTAGGGGCCTGCTCCCCACTCACTCGCCTTCCTGGGAATGGCAGCTCTGCTCCTGAACACACTTGAAGCGTCACAACAGCTTAGCACAGCCTCCTGCTGCCTTGATGGACACCTTATGAGTCCTCTGTGATTTTCCTCGTTTCATCCTTTCCTTTAGTCTCTCTTCTCTTTCTCTCTCAAAGTTCTCTCTCTCTTTCCTTTGGGAACTCTAGGGTTTGTCAGTGGATACACCCTGGCTCTCTCCAAAGCATACCCCAGGAGCTTCCAGTGCATTTTCAGTGACAGCACAGGCGTCATATGGCCACCCACAGGGCGTGTTTCCAGCGCAGGCCAGTCAGCTCACAGGCCCACCCACAGGATGCCTCTGCCAAAAATCTGAACCGGAACCCTGTTTTTGCATGACACACATTGATAACAGGCAACTTTCCTCTCTTGATGCTCCATGGCAACAGCTGTGGGTCTCCACATCTGTGTTGTCACACGTGAGGGAGAGCAATGAGAGGAGGCATGTGGCTTCCCAGGAGGGTAAGAGCCACGGTGGCAGGAAGGGAGCGGGTGAGGCCCTGAGCAGTTTATCCAGACGCAGGCTCCAGCACGTCGAACTGTTATGCACCAGAAATGGCCACGGTGCCTCAGAGGGGAGCGCACAGGATGCCCTGGTAACACCCATGAGAGCGATCAGGTTAGAACAGAGATTGTGGAGAAGGCGCCAGCCTAGGAACTGCAGCAGCGTGAACCAGAATGGTAAATCAGGAGCAGGTTTGGAGTTAACTCTCCCAACTGGCCCCCTTCCCCGTCTCCCAGCCCTTACACTGAAGGAACTGAGGCCCGGAGAGTGACTAAGCGGAGGTAACCAAGCAGTGCTTACTGAGGGGTTGGCGGAGCTCAGCGACACGAAGGCAGACAGGCTGAGAAGCATTTCACAAAAGAAATACTAGCTGACATCAATTACATGCCTATCGCGGCCCAATGACCTAAGCGCCTTACAGGGATTACTGCATGAATATCACTATTATTGTCCTCATCTTCCAGATGAGGAAAATGAGAGACAAAAAGGTTAAGGAATTCACAGAGAATGTTAATGGCGTAGCCAGAAATTAAGCCAAGATATGAACCTAGGCGGCCTGGTCCCGAAGCCACAGCTTAACCTTGACACTGTAACATGCCTACAGGGTTAGGGCAATAGATCAATGTTTCCCAAACTTCTCTCATGATGAGAATCACCTGGTGGAGTTGTTAAAATACAATTTTACCATATGTTCCCAAAAATTCTTAGGGAATTTAGCACTTCTTAGTTGGGATTCAGGAATCTGTAGTTTAACAACTCCACCAGGTGATTCTCATCATGAGAGAAGTTTGGGAAACACTGCAATAGATCGTTCCTTTGTGACTAGAACTCACATCTCCTGACTCCTAAACCACCCTACCCTTCTGGGGTCCCCAAAAGAGCTTAGTCTGAGGGCAAGCCTATCAAGGGAGCCCCAACAGCTGCCTTCCAACCTTTGCATCCCCTCATGCCCTCTGCGGCCCAGGTGCTCCGGACCTTGTGATGAACGCCCAGCTAGTGCAGGAGACGGCCTACTTGGAGGACCGCCCCCTCAGCCAGCTCTACTGCGCCCACGAAGAGAACTGCCTCTCCAAGTCCGCTGACCACATGGACTGGCCCTACGGACACCGGCGCCTGCTGCGCTTCTCCTCACAGATCTTCAACCTGGGCCGGGCTGACTTCCGTCCCAAGACAGGGCGCCACAGCTGGATTTGGCACCAGTGCCACATGTTAGTGACCGCCCGTGCCATGGCTCTACAGGGACAAAGAGCAGGGGCCCGGGGCCAAACCCACCTGGCCTCAGGCACACTTTCCCGGGAGGGGTGCGCACTCTGGGGTAAGAGCCTCCTTCCTAGAGGCCTTACTGACCTTGCCTCTTGGAGGCGATGGGGAATCCCAGCAACGTGGGCCCTGGATGTGCCTATGTTGATGGTGCTCATGGGGTCCATTTCCCACAGTAACATCCAACAGAGCCATTACTGCCACCGGGGCTGGTCTCTGCTTAGGATGATATTGGACAATTTTTCTATGTTGGACCATAGGCCTTGTCTTTAAAAGCCATGTCAAGTGGGGACTCCTAGAAACCTGCAGACCCAAAATAGACATCCCATTCAGGATGCTGGCTCTGCAGGAAACGCTTGCTGGTCTCTGCAGCAGCACAGCAAGGTCCCCAAAGAAGAGCTGGAACACTGGTACTGAAAGGAGACAATGAGCATTCTTTCCTATCAGGAGTCTCCAGCCCAGACAGGAGGAGAGACAATGCTGTGACAAAGCAGAATGGAAAGTGGCTTTTTCTTTAGGACTCGGCCTGGGTGGGGAAAGCTGCGAGGAATGGGCACCACTGGGACTTGGCCTTGCTGAGATAATAAGCACCTTTCCTCATAGCGTGAAGAGTTGTCATTAGAACTGGATTGGAAACAATGGTAGCAATTTCGCAGGCTGACAGGGAGCAAAGTAAGCACCCTCTCAGCAGCTCAGCTCCTAGGCCAGTCCCCTAGAAGTACCCCTTCCTTCCATCTCCTGATCAGATCTTGAAGCCAGGCTCAGCCTGTTGGAGGCTACCAGGGCAGAGCCTTTACTTCTCACCTGGGTGAGACCCTAGGAAATGGGGCAGCCGTGTCCTGCTGCTAGGCAGGGGAGCTGAGAAAGTAGGCCATATGTCACTAATCTTGGGTTTGGGAGAAGGGCACTGCCCTGCTATTATAACATTCTCCTTTGGATAATGATGGGGCCTAGTCCTCAATCTTCCCTGCCAACTTCTCCAAAGAGGACCCTTTTCTGTTGCCGCTAGACTGACAGCTCTGCACCTTCTGCAGGCATTACCACAGCATTGAGGTCTTCACCCACTATGACCTACTCACTCTCAATGGCTCCAAGGTGGCTGAGGGGCACAAGGCCAGCTTCTGTCTAGAGGACACAAATTGCCCTGCAGGTATGTGGCTTCCTGTCAGCATATCCACCCCTGTGACATTCATCACCCCTACTGGGGTCAGGTTCCCCTCTGCCCTGCTCAACAGCCCCTGGCACCTGGATACTCTGGTTTGGCAACTGTCAGCACTCAAGGCAATTCAAAATGATCAATTCCTTACCTTTTGAAACCTTAGGTGGAAGGTCTCTACTTCCTCTGCATTCCTACGCAACACACTTTGTACCAGCTTTAAAATACTTAGCACTTCCCTATTTTGGATAATAGTTGCAGACCTGTCTCATCTCTGCTAAATTGTTTGATTGTCTGATTCCTATTTATATACCCACAATTCCTAGCCCTTAGGAATAGGCATGGTAAACACTGGCTCGTGAGGGCTGGATGGATGGAGGGACAAAGTAGCTCAGCAGAGCTGGAATCTTCCAACCACATTTCCTAGGCCAACAAGGCTTTCCACTAGAGCATCCAAAGAGAGAACCTCTGTCACAGATGGGGTTTGTTGCAGTGCTGGATCTCTGGCTGATACTGAGGCAGGTTATTTAATCTGGCTGCATGTAAAACCTGTTTGGAAAGATGAGTGTGAGGACTATATGATAAAGTATGTGAAACACCTAGCAGAATACTTGGTCCCAAATATCTAAACCAGTACCTCAATAACTCAGTACCCTTCCTCACAGGACTGCAGCGGCGCTATGCATGTGCCAACTTTGGAGAACAGGGAGTGACCGTTGGCTGCTGGGACACCTACCGGCATGACATTGATTGCCAGTGGGTGGATATCACAGACGTGGGGCCTGGGGACTATATTTTTCAGGTAAGAGGGCTCATGGGACTCCCCACAGGAAGTTCATTTCCTCCAGATGTTCCAAAAGCTTCCCTGACGTAAAAAAGAGTATCATAAGGTCAGGTCTCCCACAGGTCTGGCCCTCGAAGGGACTGTGTGCTACAGGGGAAAGAACATTGACTCAAGATCTGGAGGGCCTGGGTTTGAGTCCTGATTCAACAGACAGTCACAGCTTCTGGGTCCTAACTTCGCAGTCCCCATCTGTAAAACAGGGACATTAATGTCTACCTCCTGGGGTGACTGGGAGGATTAAGAATATAAACATGCTTTGTGGAACTACACAAAATGTAAAGGGTTATTCCAGTCACTATCAACTCACTCAGAACTCAAATCACCTGTTTTCAGTTGTCCCCTCCTCTCGCTCCAGGTGGTCGTGAACCCCAAATACGAGGTGGCAGAGTCTGATTTCTCCAACAACATGATGCAATGCCGTTGCAAATATAATGGGCACCAGGTCTGGCTGCACAACTGCCACACAGGTAACTGTGAGCCACTAGAGGATCAGCCCTATGTGGGCTTGGGGAGCTGGAAGACTCCAAATGTACCATGTGTGACTTGAAGCTGTGTGTAAAAGGCTAGGTGTGGTTCAGAGTTGAATTTGACGTCTTCACAGGAAGATTTGCAGAACAAATTGATCAGAATTGTCAACTTCACCCAATAGCTACTTCTTTCTACCTCCTTTTGTCCTAAGGCTGTTTGGGTTGTAAACTGTTTTCCGTCTGTCCTGGAGTCTTTCCTGTTACTCAAGCCATCTCAGGATTTCCCTATTCCAGTTCATCCTTTTTCCCTCCCTTTCATATGGTCTTTATTAGTTGCCTCTATCTTAAGCTTCTCACAGACAGAAGACCCCTAGATCTGCCTCCAGCTGTGCTCATTGCTTGACAGAAGGGGACCATCACAACAGGGTGCAGGATAGGTGTGGGATTGGAAGTATCAGACAAAAGAAGAAGCAATGATCCAGTGGGGACAGAGTAAGGAGATGGTTGTTTTACGTGTCGATAAAGAAAGGCAGCAATTCCTCTTTCTGAAAGTTTTAAAATGTCTGTATTTGCTATGGGCTGTGTGGGTTCACATATACACTTGTGAACACTCAGCCAAGCACTAAAAACATATAAAGGAGATGCACAATTCATTGTCAAGTAGGGCAAGCAGACAGGCAAATGGCAACCCCAATACTACTGAGTACCTCAAACTGGTATGAACTTAATGTTGAACAGGCAGAGACAGAAAGCAACAACCCAAAGGAAGTGATGTTTGAGCTGGGTTTCAAAGGCGGGACAGAAGTCAAAGAAGGGAGGAGTAGGAGAAAGTATAGGATTTGGTTTATAAAAGGCTTCTCCGAGTACCAAATTCAACTCCAACCACTTTTTATCTGTAACACAGTGAGGAAATCACCACCCCAGAAAGTTTCTCTATTGTTCTTTAAACCCTCTAAGGTTGTCTGCAGAGGATTGTGATGGTTTCTGCTAATACAATAGACTATCCAGTGGGCTTCTGGGAACCATTAATAAATTATAGTCAAGGGGGCAAAAACATCAGATTTATGTTTCAAAGATAACTCTGGCAACAGATGGAAGACCACGAGAAGAGGAGGAAGAAATAGCTAAGGTTTGAATATGTGTGACTAAGTAAACTTCACAGCCATTCAATCAGACAGGAGTGTTAGAGGAATCAGGAATTGGAATCTGACGCTGTGCATATGGAGACAGTAGATCCTCCACAATGCTGGCAGAGGCTGCAAGGCACAGGACAGCGAGGGAAAGAAAAACAATGCCGTTCTGATCAGTCAGTGTCCCTGAAGAAAACAGGCAGCGTGCTTGAATGAGAGTCGAAGTTATTTAATAAACAGACTATTTATAGAAGTGCGAGAAGAATAAGGAAACAAGGGGCGTTGAGACATCCAGGGATAAGCCAGAGTGGAAAATCATCCACCTTTAAGCTTGAAGGGGTGAGGGTATCCTGGAACCAGATGAAAGCTAGAGCTGTGGATGAGGGAGAACCTGGCCGGGAGTTATAGACATGACTGCCAGAACAAGGGAAGAAATACCCCACCTTCTCTCCTTCCACCCTCTCAATCTCTTGCTGTTGCTTTCCACTGACCTAAATCAACCAGAAACCAGAGGATGAGATTCAGGGTGAGGCAATCTAGGGGTCAGTTCTCCAGGGCACAGAGAGGACAAATCTAGGGATCAGTTCTCCAGGGCACAGAGAGGACAAATCAGGGTAGAGATTGAATCTGGAGAGGGCAAAGGAGAGGAACCAGCACAACTGTCCCTGAAACCACACACCTGTCGGGTCTGTTTCTGTAGAATGAGTTGGGGTCTGTGCCCAGGACCAACCAGATGTAGAGCATGATGTCCGCAGAATGTCTGTGTAAAGCTGCCAGGGAAAGGATGACTGTGGTGGGTTGGTCACTTACCTGTTTTCCTTTGGCCCACAGGGGATTCATACCGAGCCAATGCAGAGCTCTCCCTGGAGCAGGAACAGCGTCTGAGGAACAACCTCATCTGAAGACGTCACTGCACATTCCCAGCTGCTGCCCACACATCAGATACCTCAGCTTATTGGAGCCATGCCCTTCACAGAGCCCTGACACAGAGGGAAATGGGCCAGTGCCAAGGGGCACCAAGAATTGCTCAGGAAGCCTTTTGATGGCAAGATCACCAAACCAGGATGGTACTGCTCCCTTGGGATGGCCCCAGGCCTATCCCTTAAGGGCCTTCGGTCTATGGACTATGATTTTCCAGGCTTTGTGCAGCTAAGCTCCTCTTGCATAAGGAGACAGAATCTTTCTTGGATTTTGCCCCGAGTTCCTGGGTCAGGAGCAATCAGTTCCTTGGGGATGGACTATGGTCTAGGCCCCCACCTAAAATAGTGCTTTGTACACGTCTTAGAGAAGACAGGGGCAATACACGGGAGGTGGGGTTAGCTCTCTGCATGCAGATCAAAGCAACACAATTTGTGTCAATGTCACAACTGGCAGCGAAGTTTGTGAATTCATTGCCTTGCTTGATCAGTCCTCATTTAGAACTCACCTGTCATACTGTCTGTTCTTTAAGGCCCTTACTTTTATCCTACTGTACATATGGGTGTTTCAAATATCCCTGAAAGCATGGGCCTCAGGCATCCCCTTATCTCCTGGTGGGCCCCACCACAGTTGCTTAGTGCTTGAGAAGGGGCACGATTTGCAGAAGTGACAAGATAGGGTCTTCCTGCAGAGCAATAAGAGAAAAAAAACACACAAAGTCTGCTGGATAATATGGACCCCAGCCCCTGCCAAGGAAAAACTACGTGCTATATACCTGGCAGGCAACAAAATGTCCCCCTCAAGATCACTGTGCATCTCAGGACTGGCCTAAATTTCAGGTCTCAGCCAAGTTTCTGAAGTGAGCTTTGCATTGAATACATTTTTGCAATGGAAAGAGCATCAGTCAAATAAGCCACTCATCTCTGTAGGAAGAAGAAGACAGGTCTGGTAGAGTGGGGGAGAGGAGACTATGAGGGGACATTTAATTTCATTAAAGACTAAATTTAGGAAAGACCACCATCCCTTCCTGATGTAGCTATAATATGCTCTTGCTCAGGTAGTACACAATCCCAGGGTCTTCTTGGACACGATTCTTAATCTTTTCTCCACTTAGACACACTTAAAAGATGACCCTTACAGGTCTGACACCCCAGTGCCAATAAAGGTTTTTCACTATTGACTGTTACAAAGACAAGACTGGCTGTGATTCTTTGCAGTTCCCAGTGGACCAACTTTACCCCTTTCACTCCCACTAAGCTGGTGACCAGGCTGCACAGGACACACAACAGTCCCACTGCATTTCTCTGATCAGCTATCAGCCTACTGTCTGCTTCCCAATCCCCTCCCCAGGCTTAGTACTGAAACAGGGGTTAGGAAGGTTAAGGGATGAAAGGTAGGTGGCAAGAAGGTCAAAGATTGTAAACTTCTATAAATGAGGCTGCAAAGTCTACATGAATGATAACAGATGGGGCAGATTTACAATAGTGTGTCCCACTCTCGCGCCTCCCCCCCTCCCCATTATCATGAGCGCCATCCCCTCCTTAGAGAGTGAAAAGGAACATGCTCTCGGTACACTCTATGGATACAAAGACAGGCTTTCTTCCTTCTCCTCTACCTTCTCTTTTCAACTCCCTCATCTCCTTCATTAGGCAGAGGGAGCATTATATTTTGGCACAGCCGTTTAGGTAAACAAGGGAAGGACTGATTTCCTGTTGGAGCCAGCAAACATCTCCCAAACAGTAACAACATTATACTCACACATGCAGCTAATGGTCTGTGAAAGAATGTGCAGCTAGTGGGGGAGCGTGTGGTGACTGATGGCTAGATTCAGGCAGGGAGGTTACCCACAGGTTCTTGCTGGATCCAGTTTCCAAGAGAGCCAGAAAAGCAGGCCAAGCAGTCAGCCACGGGCTCTGGTCTCAGCCTTGCTGCCCACATCACATGCCTGATAGATCCAGCCAGTTTTAACTCTTGGAAAAAGCTATACAAGGGTTGTCCTGTTACACCTGAGTTGAAAGGGAAGGGCATGGGAAGACTGGTGGCTGGCATGACTTATAACTAGATGAGGAATGTTAACAGAATATCAACCACCAAATTCCAGACAGAACCAAAAATGTCAGAAGACTTTCATCTTGGCATGCTTTAGTCTCTGACAAACTAAAGTGCTAGGAACCTCAGCTTACTCTTCAGAAGCCTACATTATTTCTGTTCTACCGAGACTTCTGCTATGTGCAGAGCATATACAAACTCAAGGGAAATGTACCTTTTTACTATAAATTCCAAGTGATCCTGGGTGCAGACATTCAACATACATGAAGCAACATATATGCATAGCAGAGTGCATTATGTCTTCTCAAACATCTAACAAGGAGCCAGTGGCAGCTATGGGATGCTTGTCAGTTAGCTCAGTTTGTGAAGGCATGGTTCAGATATGGTCAAAGATTTTATTTCCATCTGGACAAGCTCAATGATGCAGTCCATGCTGGGCCACGGCAGGACCTCTTACCTCTAGCCAGTATACATCAACCCCAGCTACTAGAAAAAGATAATGAAAAACACATTCTCTACTAACGGTAGAAGCAGCAGCACTCCATAGTTTTCAATATTGGCTTTAAAAAAAATCTTTTCTCTGGGTCTGATTATAAGGATAAATCTGAAAGTTAAAGGCGGATGATTGTTAGCTAAGAGAAAAGAAAAAAAAAAAAAAAAGGGAAAGGAGGGAAAGAGGGAGGGAGAGAGAAAGGAAGGAAGAAAACATGCACAAGCTACTAGCCACCTAGTATAAAGCATTAGAGAGAAAACAAATGTAACTTAAGGCAATTATAAGGACTACAAGAAAACTGAGCAATAAACATGGGGCAATGTTACTTTTAATAATGCCCTTTAAAGCAAAAATGCTTTAAGAAAGGGGAGGTCCCCTCAAAGTAGTAATCATCTTTTTACTGCCCAAGGTCACTCGCTGCCCTAAAGAATCAACACAGAGCAAAACTATACCTCAGAGGTATACCGTACAGTAGGAAGCCTGACTATAATTCCTTGCATTTCCTTTCAAATGCAACCACATTTCCCCATTACACATGCCTATCTTAGAGAAGTCCGTTCTGTGATGACAGAGCACAAGTTGTGCAGCTTCAAGCCAGAGAGAGGGGCACTGGTCTAAGCACTGGGTCAGAGGGTCAAGAAAAAGATTTAATCCTCCAAACTTGAACTGGAGGCATTGCACATGAACAAGGGACACTTTCAGAATGGACCAAGATTGAAAAAAACAATGCCGAGAAATTGCGTGAGGGCAAGACCAGAATAGAAGCAGGGATAGTTGTGTTAGGTCTAAGACCCAAGGCCAGTGTCATTTGAGAAACTGTTTGAAAAAAGCCCTACTCCACCATGTTCTAGGCAATGCTAATAATCCATCATTGTCACAGACACTAAAACATATAAAAATGAGGCTAATGCCTTAGTTAAAAACACAATGAAACACTATTTCTTGCTTCCTCGGCATCTTAAGGTCTAGCACTACCATTTCTTTAGTGCAGAAGTACTTTACAAAAACACTGGGAATGCTGATATGAAATGGATAAAGCCTGTGGTGACAGCTCTGACCTGTCCATGTCCTTTAGGAGGAAATCTCTCATGCCCAGAGGTGTTTGTTTTATTCTGGCTGCTTTTCATTGTAATGGACGGTCTGGAACTGCTTGCCAAGTGCCTCTGGCACAGGCTGAGAAGATCATACCAAGAACATGCTGCATGCCAGATATTTTCTTCAGAATGTCAGATTTGACAGAAATGGGGAAAAGCAAGAGGCTGGAGTCTGGGTGCACAAAGAGGGTAAGAAGGGAAGAGGAGCTGCTACATACCAATCCCAGAAGAGGCACGTTTGCAGTCTACTCTGGGGCAGAGAGATCATCACCTCTCTGCTCATGGGCACAATAAAATCAAGAGATCCACTGAACCCACACACAGCATAAGGGATAAAGATGAGGAGAGCTGCTTACCAATTTCTTTATGGGAATGACAAAACTGACAAATACGAGAGTGATCTAGGTCATAAAGTGGACTTTAATGTCTCCCAATTACAACACGATAGACGACTCAAGCTGGAACTAGAATACAGCTCCCAAGACTGGCTTCCTGTGAGGAATGAAGCTGGCATGTCCCTGGCTGGTGTGCAGCTGGAGAAGCCCCAGGCACTCAGCTTCTCCGTACAACTCTGGAGTCCAAATACCCTCATCTGCTGCAGTTCGCCAATTTGGGAGTTCTGGAACTGGCAGTGTAGAGTCTGTAAATCCCAAGTATACCAGATACTGCTCCCTCCCTTCCCCTTCAATATTGCTGTTCTCAGCTTTGTGAGGTACTAAAGAACACCCTGGTTTCGCAGGGCCTAAATCTCCCATCATCACAGGTTTAAATCCTCTGTTTCGTATTTGCTTAAAACATCCTGGAAGTGTGACCCATGCTCACATGACTTTCCCTGTCCAGAGGAATCCTGGAAGTCATACTTTCCAAGTTTCTTACTAGCTGTTGGCTCCCTTCTATGCCCAACACAATAAGGTGATTCCAAAGAACTGCATTTAGGAATGAAGACAGACAGTAGTCTATCTTCTTTCTATACCAGTCAGTCCTTGTCTTGATCACTTTATCCCTTTCTTTCATTAACATGCATATTTGCATGGACACAGAGCTCTGGAAGGATCTTCATATCTGAAGACTATGGAAATATTTTCTCGATTCATGGAATTATCTTTTCCATTGAGTGATGTTCAAACTGCAGATTGGTCTCTGCCTTCCCAGATGTCTTCTCGTTGCTTGGCTTCCAACCGTTTTCTTTCTGTAAATTAGGGCAGTGTTAAAAGTGGCAGTGTACGTCATATAACCAGCGACTTTCCCTTAATCCCAATTACAAGGTAAACTAATCAAGAGAGAGCTAGATTTCCTGGTCTTCTCTAATTGGATCCCAAGAGTTAATATCTTTAACATTCCAAGTACTTGGTTAAAAGGAAATGTTACCATTACTATGTAATAGAAAGAATAAGATCTGGAGCTAAAAAGAAATTAAAAGTATATGGAATAAGTCAGAAATCTAGTAGGACCCAGATCTAGTCTTGCTGATAATATATTTATTTTAATTCTACATCTCAACTGTGCTAGTGCTTCCATATAATTGCCCATTATTTCCAGTTTACTGATCTTCCCATATATTTCAACAGCGATCAAGAATATATTTCAATATTCTTCTTCCAACTTCTTGTTCAATTGGAGGTGATAGCCCCTGGGCTTTAGTTACATCTTATTACATACAATCTTACAGAAAAATATTTCAGAGGCAAACTAAATTTCAGTATCTTCAGAGCATTTTCAGGAACCAGAAATCTTCTGGAATATACAATTCCAAAATGGAAAAATGGCCACACATAATGGAGGAAAACCAAGGACTATTTCTAAAAACAAAAAAATGCACATATCTTTAATTTTTAACACAAAACCCTAGTTTCTATTTAACAATTCCACCAAAATGGGTAAAATACAGACCACACATGAATGAAGTGGCCCAAGCACATCATTAGGTGATGTAATACCAGTTCTAATTTCATGGTTTGCCACTTATCTTGACACCATAAAATGTAGATGACAAGTCTAAATTCTTCCTCCCAAGGGCTATTATTTCAGATAATGTCTGCAAAGATTTTACAAGTCATAAACCAGGGGGATTATGGAAAATAAGGTGAGTTTAGAGTTAACACTTGCTATTCGTATCTTTTCCAAATCAGCAAAACCTCTTATAAAATTCCTGTACTAATATTTGATTTTACTTTAAGGGCAAAGAACTTTGTCAGGAAGTTGACAGGCACTTGTACATGTGAGAAAGAGAAATTCGCTGCTATTTGGGCACCATCTTGTGGCATGTTCAGAATATAGCAGCAAAGTTACAAGAGGCAAAAAATATGGGGGTCAGCAAATTCCAAGTGGAAGGCTAGTTAATTCAGTGCCCTGTGACTTAGCTTTGTGAATTGGGTTGGGATTCTCTAGGAAATAGCACATTTCTTAGGAAGGCGCTGTTCTGATTCTTACAAACAGGAAAACTAGGAGCGTATCTAAAGGCAAAGGCAACTTATGTGAAAACAATCAAACACTGGTTCTGGATTCTAAGAAAAAGAACCCAAAATAGTAAATTACTAGAACTCAAAGTTTTCAATAAGCTCAGGAACTTAAATCAGAAAGGCAACATGGGAAGAGTGGCTCAGAATCCACAATTCTAAAATCAAAGCAGTTCTGAAAACAAAGTTTTATTTTTAAAGTCTGGGCCAAAACTCATTTGCTGATAAATCTAACCTGAAGGATATAGGACTGTTTATAGCCTTTATATGTGCCATTTAGGGTGACTAGTCATGCACTATGCAGCAGAGATATCAGTGTTAATGTGTCTGATTTTGGTATTATGAAACAGATTAAGATAACCATAATATCTTTCTAAATATGAATATCACAAAATTCTGAAACATTTCCTACCCTAATGCTTTCTGATAAAAGATTGTAGATCTCAATTAACAAATGTATATATAAGAAGAAAGTCTAGTTGTAAACCATATGAGATAACCAGTGAGATTAGGGAGACAAATTGAGAAGCACAAGGAAAAATGAAAATGTGAGACATACAGTTAGAAGTACAGAACATGATTAGAATAGAGAAATATAGATTAGAATGAGACAAAAATATTTTATTCATTTTAAAAAAGTAAGTGAAAGTTTGGAGGGGGGTTTAAGTGATTTGCCTATGGTTGCATAATCAGTGAAAAACTGACGCTGGAACCCAGGTCCATACATAATTCTCAAACCAGCATATTTTCCACTATTCTGATATCTGAAAATACCGACAAAGGGGGGAAATGTAAAAAAAAAAAAAAAAAAAAATCAACAGAAAGATCAAGAAACATGCTGTCCCTGTATTAAATGGAAAGGAAAGCAGCTAATAGCTGGCAGACTGCATGAGAAAAGCTCTTATTAACTTTACCTACAACCTTTAAAGAAAGTAAACTTAAGTAGAAAGAGCAACAGCAGCTTTAAGGGCAAGGAACTAAGCAAGAATAAAAAAAATTAGTATGAAATAATTCACCTAAAGCACTCACATAACTGACCCAGAAAACTTTCATTTCCCAATAAAATAAATAGGCAGAAATCTATATTTAAAAGCCTAAGCAACCATTATGACTGAACAATCGGAACGATCAGTTGACCAGTTGCTTTCACACGCACTGACCACCAAGAGGTGGGTCACTCAACACAGGAGCTGCCTCCTAGTGGTCAGTGCACTACCACAGCCAAACTCCTGTGGCCCCTAACCCCGGCCGGCTGGCCCCCATCGGCCCCTGGTGCTAAACCATTCATAGAGACCTGCTTCTGGGTTGGGGTTTCGTACATAGCAGAGCAGCTTCCTCGCTGTGATCTATTGAAAGTCAGCCCTTGACACAAGGGTCTGACTTGCTCCACCTGCTGCCTCCGTGGCAGAGAGGGAAGGAGGAGGAGGGGAGGCGGGAAATTGCATGGTGGTGGGGCACTGATGATGGCCAGCGTCCATTTCTTCTGAGCCCAGCCTGGCGACCATCGCCTCTTCTCCCGACCATGCTGGGGCCTTCGGGCCCTGGGCTGGGGAAGGGAACAGGGGGTGGGTGGCGGCAGATGCAGCCCCTTTCCCGGGGAGCCAAGGACCGGCTCCCTCCTTGGGCCAGTGGCTACCCTCCTGTGATCCTTCTCCTGGCTGGCTGACCTCCCACAGTCCCTTGCCCACAGCCGATCAACGGTTTTGTTTCCCCACAACCCTCCCCCCTAACCCCCGCACGAATTCATGCACCAGGCCTCTAATCCTACATAATAAAAGCGTAGTATGCAAATTTGTCCCCTCTGTGAGTTTGACCAGGGGGTGCAGCCTGCCAGGGGAAGGGAGGGAGGCCCTGGCCAGCGGTGGTAGCAGGTTACCGGGAGAAAGGAGAGAGTTCCCAGCCGACAGCCGCTAAGGACCCTACCTGTGCACAAATTTCATGCACTGGGCCTCTAGTATTGTTATAATGAATAATAATTTCCCAAGAACCACATAAATAACAGTATCCTGAATTTGTAAAGCACTTTTCTGAACAATTTTACACATGTTAACTTATGTTGTGCCAAGAAATTCTTCATAGTTAGGTAAGTCGCTTTGGTGGAAACTGGGGTACACTGACATGCCCACGACCACACAACTAGTTAATGGCAAAAACTCTATTATACCATATTCCTAAATGATCTGCCCTTGATCATTGTAGTTCAAGTTTGTTAGAATAGAACGGTATCCAGACATTCTGTTTCTACTAAAAAAGAAAGAGGAATCTGGATTAAACTATCATACAGATTTAAGGTAGACCAAAGGAAAAATTTTCTGACAGTGAAAACTGTTAACATCTACAACAGATAACTAAAAAGAAACCTGTCATATTTTATTTTCTGAAGACCTTAAAATTTTATAAGTATATTTTTTTCTGGGGAAAAAATTTTTTAATTGCCCCCCAAATCCTTTAAGTGGGATTATAAGTATTATAGAAGGAACATATATTTTAATTAGAGAGGGCTAAGCTAACATGTCTCCTCTCAATTTACCACCTGGGAGATCTTAGGCTGCTAGTTACTTCTCTGGGCCATCTCTAAACTGGATAAAAAGCTCTCCATCACAGAGTTATTTTAATGTTACATTACCTGGAGTTTCCTTCCAATCCCCTTAATCAACTAAAACCTTGCCATGGCTTTTAATTTTAAAAACTTCAAAACTAAAGTGAGAGGAGAAACAATTGCTTAAACGCCAGGTTCATATTTTCTTCCTTACTCAAAGCAGGCAGTATCTTCACTAGATTGTTAGTCTGATTCTCCTAAATATGGATCATTCTGCTCTGCACAGGGCAGGTGTTCAGTAAATGGCAAATGTAATTGGTAGGGTATTATATAAAATTTTAAATAAAAAGAATAATGGTAAAAAATATGCCCTGGAATCTGCACTGGACTCACCATATAATATTTACTAGTATTAATAAAAATAGGAGAAGCTAACATTTGTCACATACTAGTTATAGGCCTATACATATAGAAAGGAGAGTATTCCCATGGTTTTTGAAGATGAATAAGTATCTTTCAGGTTTTATCTCACTTGATTTCCATTGTATGGATGACAAAACAGAGAGTAACTAATTTGCCCAAGATCACACAGCCAATAAGTAGAGAGCTAAGATGTAGACCCAGGTAATCTGATGCCAGAGTCTGTTATTCACTATGCTCTACTGATTCCTCCTCCTCTAGTGGAAAAAGGTCTGGAACAAAAATATCTGTTCTTAACACCTAAACAGTACTTTTAATTTCCACAGAGAAATATTTGCTAAGTGAGAAGCCTTGGGTACATGTAGACAGGTAACAGAGAATCTGCTCAATACCAGGTACATAAAGAAGCCAGAAAGAGGTAAATGTGGAATTTTCCATCTATATTTTCTCAGATATGAAGAATGGGAAAACTCTGGAGCATAATAAAGGAAGTGTCCTCTATAATTTGTACAGCCTCAGCACCAACAGATAATAGGAACTTATCACAGTGGGTCTCTATTCACAACTCAAGGCCTTCATTTAAAAAGTAACAGGGTACCCACTTAACCAACAGTCTCATTTTAATTACATCACTAAACTCCTTTGTATAGCTGGGTACTTAAAACAAATACTTCAAGTGGAGCTGCATGCTGATGTGCCTACAGAGGAGAGGGACTACTCAGATGGCATTCATGCAAAACTGCTGCTGCAGTATCTGTAGAGATACACAGAAAAGCATAATATACTGAAAAAATTAAGTCATATCTCTTTCTACAGATACTACTGTAATTACTCTCTATTGATCTTATGATAATTGTTATCATAGAGAAATCACTTTCTTCAAACATAGCCAATTAATAAAGGGTTAAGGATATGGCACATTTTCCTTTAACCTAATTAGGTTATTGCCATCTATAAAAAACAGTTGAATCCTACCCTATTTCTATCTTCTATGAGGCCTTTGAGTAAACCATACATTAGAAAAATCAAAACTGCCTCGTTATAATCATTAAAGTTTCAAAAATTAGTTGGGTTCTACTCTGAAACTCTAGCACCTGCCATGACACACTCTGTCACTGGTTATCTGGCCAGTGCAGCCGAGAGTCTGTAAGCTCCCTGCTATCACCACAGCAGAGTGGACAGGAAGTATTAATGGCCTTGTTAGACTGGCAATAAACAAAGAGTTTGAGACTTCAATTTGTTTAATGAAAAAATGAAGTTACTTTTCAGTAAGTGGAATTTTCAGAATAAATTGCCTTCAGAGATTCCACAGATCAGGGGCTAAGGCAATAAGAATGTCTAAAGCCTGAAGGTTGATAAAAAGTACTTAAGTACAAAGCCAGAATCCTAAACCTTTACAGACAAGTCAACTGCCTACAATGAGAAGAGAGAGATTTTAACTTCAACTTAAAACTTATAAGGAAAGAAAAATACTGCTTGTGAATCAGTTGAAATATTTCTTGAGAACTCTTAGGTACTGAAAAATAATCAGAAGCTAGGTTAATCTAGATGTACTCTAATGGAGTCACTCAGGACTGTCTTTACAAAAAAATAAATAAGTAACTCCTCAGTTATCATCATCAATGCCAGTGGCTGGCTTTTTCTTAATTTGTCTTCTATCTAAGATCTCAACCATTTGGTAATAGCATGACAGTCATGGTCCAGTAAAACCATAGCAAATAATGTTTTCTACCTAGAAGACCATAGGTTTTCACACAAAAAACTTTTCTCACCCCTTGGAGCAAGAACTATAGGAAAAGCCATGGATGAGCTGAGGAGATAGGACCTATCTTAGAAAACAACAGTAAGTAAATGGATTAAGATGCTTTGGTGTGTGGAATAGGCACGCAATTTCAATATATTTAGGAGGCTTCTAGGAAACGAAATGACCAAAAAAATAAGCTGCTGCTGCTTCTTTTTTTTTTTTTTTTTTTTTTAAACGCATGCAATATAGTGAGCTCTAAAGGGACTAGAGAACACCATCCCTTCAACTCACCTCGGGCTTCTTGTAGTTTCTTGAGTTCTGCTTCCCGTTCAGTTTTGCTCTGCTTACTTCGAACCCCAAGGGCATTGACGACTAGCCTTCTAGCTAGGGCTGCAGAAGTCTCAGGCCGCTCCTTTGCTGGCTGGAGGAACTCTGAGTGGGAGGAAGAGAGGGAGTAAGGAAGAGAAAGCACTCTAGCACCGAGTGATTAACTCAGTAATTAACAAACAAAATGGACTAACAAGGGCTGCATCAGCAGTAATTAATACGAGCCTGACAGATGATCAGAGGAAATTAACATGGCAAAGCACAAACAACCCTGGCTTCTTTATCTGTATTAGCACAATTTCTTACAGTGACTCTATCAAACAGCTAAACACAGAGGTAAACTAGATAAGGATGTCACCAGAAAATGATTGCTGCATAGCTTGCAGTTAGCATCACCCATTCTCTCCAAGTGGCTGCTCAGATACCACATTTCCTACACAGCCTTTTCTATATTACGCTTTCCTTAAAAAATATACTTCCTTTAACACTAAAAATAATAGTCATATGTCTTTACTACTCTGGATATTGTACAAGTGCTGGAAAAAAAAAAAAAAACAACAGTAACAGTACTATTAACAAGGAAGAAAGAAAAACTGACATTAGGCTCACCAGCATAAGCTCTAGCTTTGGCCTTGGCTGCTCTTGTGGCCTGTGACAAGGGCCGGATCTTCACCATGGTATGTTTACTACCCAGAGCATCACGAGCTGCAAAGAGGAATAAATATAAGGAGGCAGAAGACATAAAAAAGAGCAATGCAAATGAAAATTTAAGTCTACTAGTAGTTCTTAAAAATATTCCCTAGATGTTAGGTGCTTTTTATTTTTTCTTTCATGGCAAGCAAAGGAGATGGTAAACTCTAGAAAGTCTATAAGGAACAACTTGGCAGTGGTTGTTTTAGATAAAAAATCAACTATGGCTCTATAATCAAGTTCAGCCAACCACCTAACTTTTATAAATAAAGTTTTACTGAAATAGAGCCATGCCCATTGGTTTGCATTTTGTCTGTAGCTGGTTAAAGGGCTATGCAAATTCATTTGTTGGGTGGAGGAAATCTTACATATTACAAGATTTAGTCACTTAGGCTTCTTAAATATCTACCTATAATCTGGTTATGCAGCAAATAACCTTGAAAGAAGGTGTCTATTTCTCTAAATACCATTGGATTAAGGTGAAAAGGGAGAAGAGAAGCACATGGGAACCAAAATGCCATGCCTCAAAAACCTGTATCTGCCAAATACCTATACTGGCTGGAATAAAATGCTGGGTGGCTGAAATAAAAGGGAACTAAAGACAAGTACACAATAGGCAATAAAATAGATAATAAAAATATAACATGAAATCCATTGAGTAAATACCTGTAATTGGACTGGAGAATACTCCTAGGGCATGTGTGTCATCCACCCATTTAATATCAAATCCTTTCTTCCTGCAAAACAAAACAAAACAAACAAAACAAAAAAACAATTTTTGTTTCATAAAATTTACTTTATGAAACATCTTTCAAATAGAGTCTCATAAAGCATTTCAGGATGAGAGAGAAACACTCAACAGCACACTGGTGGAATGGGGATAATGAAACAAAAACCGCTTGGAGAATAGAAAAAGCTACTAAATTTTAAAAGCAATACCAACATTATAAAGAACTACCTGGGAGTATTTTACATTCTCAGTTATTTTATAGACATCAACTAATTAATCCTCACAAGTCCCTTAGTGAGGTAAAGTATTTAACACACTATTTTACAGGAGATATTCTTAAGGGCACAGAGTAAGAAGAGGTGGAAAGGGGAAGCAGAGGAGGGTAGAAGAATATGAGAAGAGGTGGAAGGCAGGGAAGGTCACCTGGATTTAATGCATATGTAGGCTTCAGACAGACACATAGAGAGAAACAGAGATAAAGACAAATCATTCAAATGAAAAAAATCAAGTAATGGAGAGAAAGTACAACTGTTACCAGAAAAGCCTGCCCTAGTCTAAAAAACTCCTTTATTTTGGAGCACAGCTATATAGTTAACACAAGGACTATCAGGATGATGGCATGACAACTATTTTTTTTAGCAAGGAGCTTAAAACCGCTCATGGACTCAATACAGTACTATGGAACGAGCACAGTGTTTAAGGATCAGATATAAATGGAATCAGGTTCTGCTATCCACTTTAACTTCTTTTGAAGCTAGGTCTCATCTATAGAAATGGGCATGGTATTTCCTCACAGAGTTGTAAAAATGGAAATAAGATAATTCATAACAAGGCAAAGAGCACATGGTGTTGAGCACTCAGAGGGTATTTAGTAAATGAATGGCACTCATTTTTTATTATTAATAGCAATATTAATAAAGACGATTATTAATGAAGATGGTGATTAATGATTAAAACACAAAGCTGCCTGTAGTATTTGACTCATAGGCATTACTATAGATCACATGACCTTTTCTATTTTTATAAAGTACTATAAAGAAAAAAAGTCAACTGCTAAAATATTTTCCCTCTTTAAAAACAAGTAAAGAAAAAAAATCCCTTTGAGGAAAAAAATTCGTTTGAGGGATATAGAATAAAGAAAGCTTTGATGGTTAGTTAGAAAATTTCCTAAATGTAAAAGTTTAACCATAGCATAAAGTGACCACAGGGGTTGGTCACTTTTTACTGTGAAAAAATTCAATAATAAAAATATATATCATAAGATAGTTTACAAAATGATACAAAAAGATCTAGAGAATCTTTTAGACTTCAGAATTTATAATTCTTTAAAATACCTCTCTTTTGAGGATGTTTTTAGATTTGATAAGAAAAAAGGTCTTATAGGTAAGATTAAAAAGAAACAAATCAAAGGGAAGTTAATAATTCATTAGAATTAACTAATCTTCAAAGTTTAGACATCAAACCTGATCCTTGGTTTTAAGTCATCATTATTAATGACAATCTAAGGCAGTTCTAATTTGTGATTTAATCTCAATTGCTTTTTAAAATCTATTAGGCATTTTATATGGAATAGGCTCTGGATGTTGGGTCTTAACTGTCTATAAAAACTTAGTTGAATGCACTGGAAGACCAGAGAAAGGTGAAATCATTAAAAATCCCCAAGAAACTACTAACAACTGTTTACGCAAAACAGCTATAAAAGACAAAGGAAATATTTAACCCTATAAGCAATATGCACTCAGATGATTCTGAAAGTATGTTAAAGTTCGTACTCCACTTATACAAAATGAAACTGGAATAATATGATGCTAATATATTAGTTTTGTATACAAAACATCTTCTACCAATAGACAAATAACTTTAAAAAAAAAAAAAAGGCCTTGGCACTACATCGAAGACTGTCAAGTGAATGGACACTTTTAAGTGTTGTTAAACTAGTTGAAACATGTAACAATAATTTTTTATCATTCTCCACTTGACTAATTCTAACTGAGTGGTCAGAATAACCTCAAATCAATAATTTAATTTACAGTGCCCCTGAACTGTTAGTGCCCTTGGTGCTTGGTAGAAAAATCACAAACCCTTTCAGGAGAAATCCTCTTGTTTTATTGGAGACATTTATTCCCATAAATAAAATTCTAAAGAAAATGGAGAGCTCTTGAAACTAAATCTGCAAAAAAGTAAGGCACTATGAGCGAAAATTAGATGAAATAGAACTAAAAGAACTTCAGGTAAAGTAGTTACCAGATATAAACTATATACAGTCTTTGTTTAATATACTTGAAGAAATTTTTTTGAATTTTGAAAATACTTAGAGAAAATAAGAAACTAAAATCTGACTATGTATATTTGAAAAAGACATAGAACTTTGAAAAATTAGAAACATAAAATGAAATTTAAAAATTCAATGGACAGCAGGGACCGGTTTGGCTCAATGGATAGAGTGTCGGCTTGGGGACTGAAAGGTCCCAGGTTCGATTCTGGTCAAGGGCATGTACCTTGGTTGCGGGCATATCCCCAGTAGGGGGTGTGCAAGAGGTAGCTGATCAAAGTCTCTCTCTCATCGATGTTTCTGACTCTCTATCTCTCTCCCTTCCTCTCTGTACAAAATCAACATATTTAAAAAAAAAAATTCAATGGACAGATTTAACAGCAAACTAAACAGCTGAAGAAAAAATCAGTGAACTGGAAACTAGGCTCAAGAAATTACTCAAAATGCAATAGTCAAAATATAAAATATAAAAGTTAACATCAGAATCAAATGAGGGGTCTAATATACATTTGATTAGCATCTCAGAGAAGGTAGAGAAAGAAACTGGCAGAGGCAATATTTGAAGAGATAATATGTGAGAGTACTCTCCAAAACCAATGAAAAACATTAATTCACTGTTTTAAGAAGCCCAAAAATCTCAGAATGAATAAATTAAAAAAAATAAAAAAATAAAGCCTCATGTTGAAAATGCAGAACACCAAAAACAAAGAGAAAGCCTTAACAGCATTCAACGGGGGGGGGGGGGGGATTACATTCATAAGCAACAGTTGCTAGACTTTGAGATGACTTCTTATACTCCACAAGGAATGCCAGGAAACAGTAAAATACTAACTTCAAGTTTCTGAGAGAAAAGTAACTACCAATCTATAATTCTATATCCTGCAAAAAACATCTTTCAAGAATGAAGTTGAGCCGAGACCGGTTTGGCTCAGTGGTGAAGCGTCGGTCTGCAGACTGAGGGGTCCCAGGTTTGATTCTGGCCAGGGGCATGTGCGTTGGTTGTGGGCACATTCCCAGTGGGGGGTGTGCAGGAGGCAGCTGGTCGATGTTTCTCTCTCATTGACGTTTCTGGCTCTCTATCTCTCTCCCTTCCTCTCTGTAAAAAAATCAATAAAATATATTAAAAAAAAAAAAAGAAGAAGAAGAATGAAGTTGAAATAAAGCCATTAAAAAACAACAACAACAAAATGACTTTCTTACCAGCAGCCTATCATTAAAGTAAATGCTAAATAATGTCCCATACATACATAAAGAAAAAGATTTCAGATGGTAGGTATGAGATGCAAGAAGATATAAATGAAGAACACAGAAAGTGGGTAAATCTGAATGCTGAATATATAAAACAGTAACATCAAATAGGATTTATAAAAAAAAAAAAAAAAAAGAGGAAAAAATTTAAAAAGAATCACAATACTCAATCATAATCTATATATAAAAGCCTAAGCAACTGGTAGCTATGATGTGCACTGAACACCAGGGGGCATATGCTCAAAGTAGGAGCTGAAACCACAGGCATAGAAACTGATGAATCTCAGAGGGAAGGAGATAGGGGGGAGGGTGGGAAGAGATTAACCAAAGATCTTATATGCATACTAGAGGCCCAGTGCAAAGATTTGTGCACCGTTGGGTCCCTCAGCCTGGCCTGCACTCACAACTTAGGACCCTTCAAGGGGTGTCAGAGAGCTGGTTTGGGCCTGATCCCCACAGGCCAGGCAGAGGGATGCACTGGGCCTCTAATAGCATATAAAATAGGGTGGGGATGAAGTGAAGAATGGAAATGGGAAATGAAGCTAAAAGCTCTTACAGTGTTTGGGAAGAGTGTGAAAATATTAACTTTAGACACTGATAAGCATGCATTTTGTAATTTCTAAAATAACCACCAAAGAATAAAAACAGCATTATTTCCCCCAAAAAATAGAATGAAAAAATACCTCATCCATCCAAAAGAAGGCAAGAAAGAGAAGAAAAAGATGGAACAAGTAAACATACAAAAAAGAATGCCAGGCATAACATCGAAATACAGTTAACTTTTGAACATGGATGGCTTTGAATTTGGATGTGAATTTATTAATATTTATGTGTGAATTCTTAAAATCTATAGTACCAATAGATATAGTACAGTTTTATAAATGTACTGTCTCTGTCTTATAATTTTCTTAGTAACATTTCTTTTCTCTAACTTATTTTTTGTGAAAATACTGTACCTAATACTTATTACATGCAAAATATGTGTTAATCAACTGCTTATGTTATCAGTAAGGCTTCCAGTCAACAGTAGGCTCTTAATAGTTTTTATCTAGAATCAAAAGTTATATTTGGATTTTTGACTGTGTGAGTTGGTCTGCACTCCTAACCCCTACCTTGCTCAAGGGTCAACAATATATCAATAATTACAAAAAATTTAAAATGAACTAAATACACTATGAAGATAGACTTAGAAGTCATCATTAATATTGGTCTTCCTAAATGCTAAAATGGTGTCTGGAAAGACTATTTGGCATTTCTAAGGATTTAGAAAAAGAGTGGTTTAATACAGAACATTTCTAATGGACTTGGAAAAGACAATAAGTAAACTTGATGCTAAAGTTAACAACAGGTAATATCATATGAAAACATAAGATAATTTTTCAGAAGATATTTTATTTTATTTTATTTTATTTATTTATTTTTAAATATATTTTATTGATATTTTACAGAGAGGAGGAAGGAAGAGAGATAGAGAGCTAGAAACGTCAATGAGAAACATCGACCAGCTGCCTCTTGCACACCCCCACCGGGGATGTGCCCACAACCAATGTACATGCCCTTGACCGGAATCGAACCCAGGACCTTTCAGTCCACAGACCGACGCTCTACCACTGAGCCAAACCGGTTTCGGCCAGAAGACATTTTAAAGAAAACTTCATCCCACTTTCCCTAACATCCCCAACCATTTGCAATACTTACTGATAACTGCAGAAAACCCGTAGGAGGTCTTCAGTACGAAATTCTCGAGGGAAGTCATAAATTTCAATGACATGTGGGAATTCACAATCACTGAGGTCAATATCAGGAACTTCATTATTATAATAATCAAATCTAGGTTCCTGGATCCTATTTGTATTCTTCATATTCCCTGACAACTAAGAAAGAAGAAGCATATTAGTGAGCCACATCAAGTCAGATCATTATATAATAGTAGAGGCCTGGTGCACAAAATTCATGCACTGGTGTGTGTGTGTGTGTATGTGTGTGTGTGTGTCTCAGCCCAGCCTGCAACCTCTTGCAGCCCATGAACCCTCGGGGGATGTCCACCTACCAGCATAGGCCATGGGGCCTAAGCCAGCAGTTGGAGATCCCTCTCACAGTCCAGGACCCCTTGCTCCTCACCGCCTGCACACTCCCTTAGCGCTCCCACCACTGCCACTGTGCTCACCAGCCATGAGCCTGGCTTCTGGCTGAGTGGCACACCCTCTATGGGACTGCACTGACCAGTAGGGGGCAGCTCCTGCATTGAGCATCTGCCTCCTGATGGTCAATGCACATCATAGTGACCGGTCATTCTGCCATCAGTCAATTTGCATATTAGGGTTTTATTATATAGGATTTCCCCCAAATAATCTTTCTCTTAGTCTCTGTATTCCTAATACCTAACCTTTAACATTGTCTCTGTATTAATGCTGTTCATAAATACAATGACCAGGGTTCTATCACTGAGTTTATATTATACATATGAAATACTTGAAAAGGTATTGAATTTCTAGCAAAAACAGGCAATGCATGAAACCTAACTTGCATCTATCAACTACTGTGTGAAAAAATGTGGAATGATTAATGTGGTGAGTTACCAATGGCACATCGTGGAAAATGAATTTCAGAAAATAGCTGAGGAGATCAATTAATAAAGTTTGTATTATTTGAGCTTACTGATCAGACTCATCTCATAGTGTTTCTTTTGGAAGCAAACAAAAACAAAAATTTAAGAATAAAAACACTTTGTTAGTCTACCTTTTGTTGAACTTAGCTTACAAAGGAATTTGTTAAGGCAAATTTAAGTGGTACAAGTAATTATAAATAAGGTCCCTAGCATGAGAACTACTTAAAATAATTGTCACATAGCAGGTTAGTAAAGAAATTAATAGTAAAAAAAAATATTTAAACATTTTAGGAACCTCTCATGCATTTGGGGTCTCTGACTCTCTCATATATGCAAAGTTCCCATATATATGTACATATTAAATTTGGCCGTTTTCTTAAAAAAAAAAAAAAAAAAAAACCTTAAAATCCTACTATCCTATGAAAAAACTAAAGGTTATTAACTATTTTACAATAGAAACAGAAGGGAAAGGGAAAAATAGAAAGTGGCAACAAAGCCATTTTGTCATTCACTTGTTATAGTACCTAGATGCTGATACTGACCACCCAAAGCCTTTAGAGTGTCTTTTTGTTAATTAAAAGCCCAACTAGATCCCTTCAAGCTTTCCCTCTATTATACCATGCCCCTTTTCCCATCAAATGAGAAAATGAGAGCTCTCAATGCCAGGACTATACTTCCTTTCCTTAGAGAAGTAAAAAATGTATTCAAGAATTTTATTGAGGAGGGAAGAAAAGGGAAAGGTGATTTAAGCAAAACAAACAAAAATGTTTATTTATTGAAGTGCCTCTAGTTCCGTTTCTCCACTAGGCTTCAGTTTTACATCTTAAAAAATGGGAATAATAGTAATATTTATACCTCAGAGACAGCTGTGGGGATTAAATGAAATGATGCAGTTAAGTGCTTAGCATACTATAATATATGGCACCTAAATATTCAATGAATTCAACCTTCTTTAAACAAAATTTAACTGAGTGCTGAATCTATGACAGGCCAAGCTATTCCCACTTTTTTTTTTTTTTTTAATCCTCACCTGAGGATATTTTTTTCCATTGTATTTTAGAGAGAGTAGGAGGCAGGGAGGAAGGAATGAGAAAAAGAGGGAAGGAGGGAAGGGAAAACGGAGGGAGAAAGAAAGAACCATGTGAGAGAGGCATATCGATTGGTTGCCTCCTGAACACGCCCTACCTGGGCAGGGATGAACCTGCAACTGAAGTAGGTGCCCTTGACCGAGATTTGAACCCATGACCTTTGGTCCTCAGGCCAACACTCTAACCACTGACCAAACCAGCCAGGGCTATTTCTACTTTTAAGATGCAGAAAGTACAAAGAGAGTATTTTTCTCACCATAACAATAAGAGCAGCGGATCTATAAAATCATAATTCACTCAACAGTTGAGACTCCAAGACAACCAAGAAAACTAAAGTCCACAGAATGACAAATCCCTCCAAAGAGAAACAGAACATATAAACCATTGGCCTTTGACATATGATGGGAAGAAGCAACCACCATGCAAGTGAGCAAGAAGATTATTAGCTAAACTTTAACGAAGTCTTAAAAGCCTAGAGTGGGCTGGTATATCAGTTTAATAACTCAGAGCCCCAGAAACAAAAGGAGTCTTAAATCACTTGCAAGTCCACCCTTAAAACAGGTGCCACACTGTCTTGATTACTGTAGTTTTATTAAAATAGCTATGAAATCAGGAAGTTTGAGTCTTTCTACTTTGTTCTTCTGTTTGAGTCTTTCTACTTTGTTCGTCTGTTTCAAAATCACTTTGGTTATCCTGGGTCCATATGAATTTGGGAAATACCTTAATTTTATCAATCAGAGATGAACGTGTGATGTCTTTCCATTATTTAGGTCTACTTTAATTTCTTCCAACATTTTGCAATTTTCAAAGTACAAGTTTTATATGTCTTTTGTTAATTTTAATTCTAAATATTTTTATCCTATTGTAATTATAATTGTTTCTTTCATTTCATTTTTGGATTTCTGGCATTGACTTTCAGAGCTACTCTGAAAAAAAAATAAAATAAAACAAAGCACCCATGAATTTACAAACTGGGGCTAAATAATGCATTGTGAAAGATAAAGGTAAATAATGCATGACTATAAAAATACCTCTGAAATATAAATACTAAGAAGTGATTAGAAAGAGAAAGGAAAAGAGGGTAATCTGGCAAGAAAATATGATTAAGGTCCTTTGCTATAACCTAGTCCGAAAAATTGATTTTGTAAATTATATCCCATTTCTAAGCTAACTATTAAGCATTTTGGCTTCTAGGACTGATTAAATAGCAGTGTTAATAATATCAAAACAAACATTTCTTAGTCTATATTTCATGGAACAATAGATATAAAGCCTATTAAGTTAAGTTCCCGGTCAAGGACACATACCTGGGTTGCAAGTTCAATCCCCACACCTCATCAAGGCATGTGCAGGAGGCAACCAATTGATTTGTCTTAGCATCGATGTTTTTCTCTCACCTCTCTCTCTCTCCCCCCCTTCCACTCTCCCTAAACATGAACATAAATAGAGACTTCAGGACAATCAAGAAAACTAAAACAGAAAAAATATCTTCACTCCCCAGGTGAGGCTTCAAAAAAACAAAAACAAATCAAATATATGTCTGTTAACATGAGCTAGAACTAATAACAAAAGATACTAACCCTCCTACCAATAAGTTTACCGATCAGTAGAGAAAGGCACAGGAGCTAAGGAAGTTTTATTTAGACGATAATTCCTTTGTTCTTGTACCAACACTCAGAAGGTTAAAAGAGGTCATGCCAATCTTCTTTTCTATATAAATTATCAACTTAAGTCTCTGGGCTTTAGAAGATTTAGTATGATCTACAGAGACTCAAGAGTTGCAATTCTGGGAGCTCAATAATGGCCTAGCTATGCTCTCGACCTTCCTCAGGCAATTTTAGAGGTTCAAACATCACAGGAAACTGCTTCACATGCCACTGGCTGCCACACCCTACACTATTGCAAACTTTCCTTCCTATTAGAAGTATTAGAAAAACCTCCATATGTCTAGCCATTGTAAACAAAGAAATAGGCCAGCTGGGAAAAGAGCCAAACATCTTTGGTTGGAAAGTTTTCAAGGTAGGGAAACATTCTGGTTTAATCTTTAATAAAGTGTGTTTGGAGTAATACAAATAATAAATTGAGTATAATAGTAGCCAAAGGACTATTAATGTCACTGGACTTGGGACATCTTTTAATAACATTATTTTTATTACATCTTCTAAAACCCAAAGCACAGGAGACCAAAGTTTAAAGTTAGATCTGTTTTAACATTCTCAATCCATTTCTCCATCTCCTTCTTTTTTGTTCTCATCCATCCTCATCCCTTAACATAGATCCACTTCCTACCAAGCACCTCAGAAGATACCCAAACACAACACCCAGGCACTGGCTGTCTTTGGCTTAAAACAACTACATACTCCATTTTCCTGCCATTCCCAGCATTAGGACATACTAGTGTCCTCTCAGGTTATAGTTCTATGCTCCTCAAAAATACTAAGTAGTTACCTACATTCTTTTGCGCCTCTTCTAAACAGTGTTAAGACCTGAAAAACTGTTACCCCACCTGATTGCCCTCCCCCCTCGATACAAAACCATATCCATAAGCTACCACATAGAATCCAAGTTCTAGCAGCAATTATGTTGTTTGTTTTTTAACTGATTTCAGAGAGGAAGAGAGAAAGAGAGGAGGAGAGACAGAAACATCAATGATGAGAGAGAATCATTGTTTGACTCCTCCAGCACCTCCCTGTCCTCCACTAGGAATCGACCCCACAACTCATGCATGTGCCCTGACTGGGAATCAAACCCATGACCTCCTGGTTCATAGGTTGATGCTCAACTATTAGACTATACCAGCCAGGCAACAATTTTGTTTTAAAAGCACCTGGAGGCTACCTTAAAAAGGAAGAGATCTCTAATTCTCTTCTATAGCCTACATCCATTCAGTGACTATTTAATGAGTTCTACCATGTGTTAAAGGCTTTGTGTGCCATGCCCTTCTTTTGTAGGAAGCTGTCCTTTCTCTATGTCTACCTATGTTCTCTACCTACTCAGGTATTCCCTTCCCTAACTACTATGAATGCTGCTTCCTTTCTCACACTAAGACCATCTTCTTAATACTCCCCCATTATTGGTATTTCTGAACCCAATTTGATTCTAAAATCTCTGAATAGTGTTTTTCCTAATTATGGGCTAACAGTAATTTCTAGTTACCACACTCAATTTCTGAAATACATTTAAGTTTCTGTATTACCTTTGAGCAATGGTTTTCATTTTATGTGCATCAGAATCACTTGATGAGCTAAAGAGTTTACATTTCTAACAATTTTCCAAGTGATGCTCATGCTGCTGGTCCAGGGACCATATTATAGGGACCACTGTCTTTGAGAATCTGATGAAAGCTAAGAAAAACTACACCTATAAAAATTTTCATGCAATTTCAAGGGGTTTATGAATGCCCATTCATAGATACTTTCTGCTCTATATTTCTTTCTAAGAAATGTCTAAATTAATAATGTTTGCTGATTTGACCATAAGAAGTGCTAACAGAAGTGCATGCAGTAGGTGTGCATGCAAACACATTCTAAGAGTGAGTAAAAATTGCTTGGTATTGGAAAGTCAATTCTGTCCAATGGGCTGACCTTTTCAGTATCATGTGTCTCTTTCACATGCGTGTGATTATTTTTCTGTACTTCTGGTTTAACTCTCAGAAACAAAAGACTCATCAGTATTTAAAAGGCTCTTTGGAATCACTCAAACAAAACTCCATTTTATAGGTGAGGAAGTGGTCTGGTAAAAAGAATATAAACAATGGAGTAAGATAGAATTAGGATGTAATCCTGATTCTCCCTTTATTAACGGTATGATCACTAAGCTTCAATTTTCTCACTTATGAAATTGGGGATTTTATAGGGAAATAATTTTTTTCATTTCAGGTAAAGGTTATGTGAACTCACTACTATAAGGAATGAAAGGGGAGTGGTTTGTATTTATGTTAATTTAAATGTCTAAATTAAGAAAATGAAAATATTGAAATAAATAATTTGTAAGATGCCTTAAAAAAATCTAACATTTTGTATTTATGATCTCTTATCTAGGCATCATGTAATTTTCACTTATATTTTCTATATAGACTAAAAAATCATTCTTTAATTTAACTCAAAATAAATTCCTTAAAAAACAATCATACCGTCCTTTATTTTACTCTTCCTTTCTCTAATTCTTTCACTCTACAGTGTCTCAAAACATCTGAACATCTACTGGAAAAATAAACAGTAATAAACTATCCTCCTCCCCTCAAATAGGCCTGTGTAAAATATTGTCAACATAGAAGAGCCCCTTTGAGAAGTTTCCTTTGTATTCCTCAATAGATAACTGGTATCCATTAAATTCATCTTTAATCTAGTCACCAAATCACTCAGGACTTGGCTATTATAAGTATCACTCAATTCTGCATTTTTTTCTTTTTAAGATCTACCAGAAAGTCTTTTCTCAGTCTATACTCCTATGTTTTTGCAGGAACCTTACACTGGAGATAAATCAATGAATGTGCACAAATGTCTCCAAAATCCCAAGTTCTATGAATCTACAAATTATAAAAGCATCAAGCAATTTCCAGTAAACATACCTCTTGTAGAAGACGTGGATCCAGGCAGTCACCATCATCATTAAACATGGACTCCCAGCTCTCCTCAGTAGCTGTACTTTCCTCCATGTGAGAAATTTCTATCGTTTTCGATTCCATAGATGTCTCTACAGAAACTGATTCTATACCAGGAAAGGATATACCAAATTCTATATTCTCTGAGTCATCTTCCTCTTTTGTTTTAAACTCTTCAGTTTTCAGTTCATGCAATGCTTCTGTTATATCATTAGTACAATCTAGATCATTGTCCAAGGCACTATCTGAAAGTACTTTTGTCTCATTTAACAAACTGAGTTCAGAGTCCAAAGAGATGTTAAAATTACCACCAGCAATCTTCTTTATAGGCAAGGATGAAGCACAATCTGATGAGCTCTCTGTCAACTTTCCTGTTGACTCTGTGAAACTACATGAAATACTATCAGCGTAAATATCTGAGCAAGCAGTGAGGTTGCTGAAATTTTCAGTGTCATTCCCACCTCTAGCTACATGAAAAGGGGTTGTATCTGTACTCATTTCTAAATATTCTGAGAAACTACTTGTATTGCTATAGGCTTCGCCAGCTATTCTAACTGCAACGACACAAGGGCTGTCTACAGTAACTTGATCAGACATGGTATCTGTAATGTCCATCATGCACGCCTTTTTTGTAATGTCACCTACACTCTTAAGTCCATTACCTGTATCTGTTTCATGAACAAGAGCAACTGTAACAGAAGGCTCATACTTTATGCGTAACTCATCAGCAGTGTTGTCATTCTCCTCACACTCTCTAATCATCGCTGGATCAAAAATGCCATCTGTGCTCTCTAATGTGTTGACTGAAGTCATTTTATGAGAGATGTGACCCGTTGTCTCAGGAATGGAATTTATACCTTTCTGACCCAAGATGAAATCTATACTATTGGCTATGTCACCAACATTCTCAGCTTCAAAGTCTACACAAGGTTGGTCAGTGACACCATCTGGACTTCCAGGAACAGGAACGGTGGTGATGCCTCCACTGCTGAGCTTCAACATTCCACCAGATGTTTGCATGCCTTGTTGCACAATTTCAGAATCAGAGCTTAGTTTTACTGGTCCGATCATACTCTCTGGTCTCAAAACAGAACTTAAAACTCCAGGAAACTGATATTGTATTTCTACAACGTTGGCATTTGTTTCAATTCTGCTTTCTAAATCTTTGTTTTCACATGTTTCCCCACTTAGTTCAAGCCTACTGAAATCACAGAATTCCACATTTTGGAATGGTTTGTTTAAAATTGGAGCCTCACAGATTTCTGAACAAGACTGAGATAGAGGGAACCTCTCATGTCCTGTCACATCTGTGGTTTCAACCTCCGTCTTCTTTGGTTTAAAATGTCTTTGTAAAGGTATAGTATGTACAGTCCCAGAATGGAGGACTCCTTGCTGATGATGTCCTTGGGATAGTATTTCTTTCGATTCTGTGGCTCCTCTCTTAGTACAAATCCTAACCTCATTGTTTTCTGGAAGGCACGTGTCTTTTCTTAATTTTGTTGAAGATTTCTTTCCTTCCTTTCGACTGTGCTCCTTTTTATCAGAATAAATACTTAATCTTTGAGTCTTAGGTTTTTCTCTAAAGATTTCCTTTTGGGAGGGACAATTTTTTTGTTCTTCTTCCACCACAGAATTAGGTGAACCACAGCTTTTTTCCTCATCCCCTGTCTTGAGGAGTTCAACACCCCTTCGAGCTTTAGGTACATAAAGTGCCATGTCAGGCCTTCTGGTTCGAACTCTGCATCTCACTGCTTCTTGCTGCATGGCACCACTTCAATCTGCAAGAAATAAAATGATTTAATTACAAAAAACAAATTACAATGTATTAAACCAAGAGATTTTTAAAAAGTAGAGGGCCTACTAATCCATCCTATAGAAACCCTCAAGTTAAAAGAAAACCTGCCATAAAATAATTAATACAATCACATAAGCAACTAATAAAATTCCAAAACTGCCCATCAATTTTATCCATATATCCTCTTTCTTCCTATTCTCCAAATCTTTTACCTCTACCTTCCAAGTGCTCTCTATTTTTTTAAACAAGTAGCCTTATCTTAGGCTGAATTAAAACAAATTATCTGAACAGTGATTTTCATTTATCAAGTACTCTTAAAACACAACCATCTCCATATTCTAGGTGGTCATAATTTACATTGAAGAGTATACTCAAGGAGGAAACCTAAAAATATATTGGCTCAACATAAATATTACATATATGTAAGTATAATTTTTAAAAAAATATATTTTATTGATTTTGTACAGAGAGGAAGGGAGAGAGATAGTTAGAAACATCGATGAGAGAGAGTCATCGATCAGCTGCCTCTTGCACATCCCCTACTGGGGATATGCCCACAACCAAGGTATATGCCCTTGACCAGAATCGAACCCGGGTCCTTTCAGTCCCCAACGCTCTATCCATTGAACCAAACCAGTTTCGGCTGTAAGTATAATTTTTAAGAGTAATAACTGAATGTAATTTTAATGTGGGCTAGAAAAAAGATGACTAATCAGGAACTGCTTTTGAACTATGATTTTTAGGAAGAAATAGGTAGTGAGAGAAAGAAAGCCATTATTCTATTAATACCATTTAATCAAGTGACTTATTATAAATTGTTCTTCTTTCCAGCAGCAATAAAACAGGTCTGGGTAGAATGAAGAAGGGTGGAGGCCAAGGAATGAGATGAGACAACTCACACTAGTACTTCCTGACAACCTCCACCATGGTTGCTCAATGGAATTTAAAAGGGGGAAATATTTAACAAAGGTTAAATAAACCTTCACCTACCAATAAAATATAAATAAATGTGCTTGACAATTGAGTTATTCTTTTAATATTCAAAAAAGAGGAAGTATTAGGTTGTCCAGAATAAAGTAAATAAGGAGGCGCTATCTATAGCAAAAAAAAAAACAACCATATACACTCTGAGGCACCCATTGTTAATATTTCACCACATACATTTCAAAGGAAAGAGATAAGATAAAAAGAAAGGCTAACAAATCCTGTCCACTCTATTCCAGATCCCTAAAACTTCATCTGATTCAGATAACTTCCTCAGTAAAGGAGCTCTGCTCTCATGGCACAGGCTATTTTCTTTTCACTCCAGGTATATACCATGACCCTGATTATAAAGTGTCCTGAGGGATCTGCTTGTCCCTTTTCTCTTTTGATGTCTTAATTATGTAGCCCACCAATCTTCGTGGATTTTCTATTTTTGCATTTGTGGCCAGCAAACCACCCAATTAGGCATATGCCCTGATTGGAATTGAACCCTGACCTCCTGGGTTCATAGGTCAACACTCAACTACTGAACAATACCAGCCAGGCTTTCTCTCTTTTAAACAAGTTTTAACTTTTTCACAATGTTTTAAGTGGTTTTATCAGTTCCATATGCTTCTTATCTAAAGAGGAGAATTGTTATTTAGGGTGTATTTTGCAGCTAATTTATCCTGGATTAGTCATCAGCATGTAGTTCTTTTCAAAATTACATTTTCTAAAGGGGATAAAAATTCAGATTCCTTTATGATAGTGGGCAGTTAATTGCTAACATACACCTTAAAATATTTTAGGGCAAATCATTTTTTTCTAACTATATTCTGGAACACTGAAATCATATATGAGCACCTGTCCAATTGTTTCTACAGTTTCAAATTCTTCTAGAGTAGCTTCCTTTAAGTATCTCTCTGATCCATCTCCCTGAGTAAGTGAATTAGTCAAATCCATAACAGAATGTCAACACTGTCCATATTTGGTATCTAAAACATAGAGATCCCTCTTCAATCAACAATAGGGAATACTGATACTTAAGGCACTCAATGAATAATTCAACCATTAATTGATTTGAGCCAGTACTTATCAAAGTTCACTTGAGACATCTGATATTTGAGAGAAACTGCTGAACGGGTAGGTTAACTATTCATTCTTCCAGAACAAAATCTCTGAGCTCTATGACTTTGTTACTTCATTAGAATGCATCATAACTAAATCATATATTTGTCTTAATTCTTTATTTGGAAATAATTTCTAATTTATAGGTAAGTTACAAAACTAAAAATGCCACAATGAGCACCTGTATACCTTAATCCATATTTATCTACTGTTAACATTTTATGCCCCACTTGTTTTACCATTTTTTGCAATCATACATGTTCCCTCCCCTTTTCTTATCTCTTCCTTCCTACACACACACACACACACACACACACACACACACACACACACACTTGCTTTTTTTCCCCTGAAACTTTTGAGGATAAATTACAGACATCATGGCCCTTTTCCCCTAAATATTTCACAGTGTATTTCCTATGAGTAGGCATATTCTTACATAATTACTCATTATAAATGTAAGCAAATCTAACATTGATACCTTTATCAAATCTAACATAAATAGGTATTCCAATTTTGTCAACTGATTCTGAAATTTCCTTTATAGCATATTTCCCTCTCCAATACTAGACCCAGTATAGAATCAGGCAATACTTTTAGTTACCATGTCTATTTAGCCTCCTACATGCTAGAAAGTTTCCATAGCTCTTCATTGTCTTTTATGACATTGACATTTTATAAGACTAGCTCCACCTTCCCCCCTATTTTAAATTAAATATCCCTCATTTACTGTCAGCCTGCTGTTTCCTAATGATTAGATTGACATTGTACATTCTTAGCCAAATAGAACATAGGTGATCATGTGTCCTTCTCAAGGCATCTCATTGGAGGCATGTGATTTCCATCTCTCCTTCAGTGATGATATTACCTTAGATCACCTGGTTAAGATACTGTCCAATTTCTCTACTATATGATTACTATGTATTTTTTCCCTTGCAATTAATAAGCAGTCTGTGGGGTAACACTTAAAAAGCATGTAAATATCCTGCTCCTCATCAAAATTTCCCTAGATTTTACATCCACTAATGATTTTAATCTGATCCTAAATTTACTATGATGGTTGCACAATGATGATTTTCCAACTCTACAAATCCCTTCACATTTACTAGTCAACCCATTTTTTTCAGAAAGCAAAAGTAAATCGTGTATCTTACCTCACCTCAGAAAACTAAGGTCCCCTGAATTAGACTCAATGTTAAAATCTTAACTTTCATAGTTGGTTAATATACCTGAATAATATTTTCTAACTTAGTAAATGGAAGATGAAAGTAATTATCGCATTATCCAATGTCCCACTGTAAAGAGAAAAGAAAAAGCATGCATGTCTCTCAAAGTTCTATGCCCCTATAACAGACAGAGCATAACTTGTCTCTTTCTGCTATTTTCCAGAAAACACAAGATTTAAGTTTGGAATTTAAATACAATAATTAATCCATCCCAGATGGCTGGTAATATTTATTTCTCTGTCCCTTTTTAAAGCCATCTCAAATTCCTTTGGGAAGGAAGCAAGGCATAATCAATTCATATATGTTAATAAACATGTTGTATGTGAAGGCAGGAGAGGAAAACATTTTTTGGAAATCTATTTTCAACTTACATTTGTTTGAACTATAAAATATTCTACAGAATAATGAAATGTTTCAAATGAGGTATACAGAGTTCTGACACTGACATCCCCTTCAAATGACCTGCAAAATTATGCAATAGAAAGATATGTATGTAAAGTATATATTAAAATACCAACGCAAACATCCTGAATGCAAGGTTCAACAGTTAGATTTTCAATTCAAGATGACAGATGAAGCACATATATATACTTTCCCCCACTAAAAATTGATCCATATTTATATGGGAATTAATTTTATAATAAATGTGAAACTTCAAATCAATGGAAAAATGTGGAATATCCAGTGTCAGAAAACCTGCCTGGCTCACTTGCCAATACTTTACTGAGGATTTTGCTTGAATATTCATGTAAAATCAGTCTATCGTTTTCTTTCTTAGTACTGCGAATTATGTGACTGTGTTATCAAGATTACTATAAGACACATTATATAAATTAAGAATTTATGTATAAGTCTGGGCTTACTCCTCCTTAAATGTTTGGTATAAGTCATTTGTAGCACTGCCTGGGAATAGTAATTTTTGTTGAAAATGTTTAATAATCATTTACTTTCTTTAATGTTAAGGTCCATTGAAATTTCTTCTTGAGTCAGTTTCACAAATTGCTTTAGAAAATATCTTTTGATGTGAGTTTTCAAATATATTGATATAGAAGCTGATCACAGTACTTTTTTAGCATTCTAATATGAATACTTATCTAAATATCTAAAGTTAATCATTATTTGTATCTGTCTCCTAGTACAATGCTTTTACTTTACAATCCCTCCCATATGTACTCTTAGTTTTCATCCAAAAGTATCTTTTCACTGCTCCCATCTTTTAATACATTTTTTCTATTGTTATTGTTAAAAAATCTGTTTTGTCAGATTGTCATTGCTTTTTGTAGATATCTCTCATTCTTCTCTGATGATTCTCAACATGTTATCTTACAAACTTGGTGTTCTCAAATGTCTACTATGTGTTTAATATTATTAGTTTCCTATTAGAGCAACACTATTTGAATATTTTTGCTATTAGTCTTATACCATTTCTAGTCATTCAGGGTAATATCCTTAAATTCATCTTCAATATCACCAATTTTCTTTTCATATTTTCATATTTGCCTATTCTGCATTTTAGCTTATCCAATCAGTTTTTAAATTTTAATGACTAAGGTCCTATTTTGTCCCCTCCAGTGCCCCTGATCTCCTTGGTCTCATTAATTTTATAATTAGATTTAATTTTTGTTATAAGTATTTACTATTTAATAGTTTTA